CAAAATGGCTGCTGCTCTAACCCCAACCCAGCAACCTCTGATGAGAATTTCTCTTGCAGGCCACCCTAACCAGAAGCGTACAGGGAGGGGAATGCTGGGAAAGGTCATTTAACCTAGGCAAGAGGACCCATCACAAAGCCACTTCACATGATGTGTGAAGCCACTTCACATAAATCCTGTCTAATTCCCACCGGGAAGAGCTCACCAACCTCGGTAGAAGCAACACCTCACTGAAGCAAGCCTTGGAAGTCCCTCCCAACACCCCAATGAAAGCACAATGTGGTCCCATGTGAAGAAAGCAGATTCCTTCCAGTTAGCATGATTCGGCCTTAATTCTTCCAGAACAAGAATCTTGTCAGTATTATACTCAGGAGCCTGGCTGCATTACAAGAACAATTCCATTAGCTCTTGGCAAGCCGTCTCTCCCCTGATGTAAGAATGGAAGAGAAGGCTGCCGTTAAGATATCACACAACAGAAAAAGGGGTCTTGTTCCAGAAAGGGGTGGGACAGCAGATGAACAGCTTTTTGAGAGCATTGGGGGTACTGTTGGAGAGATCTGGGGATGTGCTTTCAGGGTTCTGTCTCCTGGAGGTCTCAACAGACTCCAGTCTTAAGAATTATGTTTGCCTGGGGCTCCTGGGTGGCTGAGTCAGTTAGATGTCTGACTTGGGCTCAGGTCATGATCTCATGGCTCATGAGTTCAAGCCCTGCATCAGGCTTTGTGCTAACAGCTTGGAGCCTGGAGCCTGCTTCAGATTTTGTGTCTCCTTCTATCTCTGCCCCTCCCCCACTTGCACTTTGTCTTTCTCTTCCTCTCAAAAATGGACATTTAAAAAAAATTTTTAAAAGATTTACCTTTTGCTTTCATATTTGAATGAAAACAGCTCGAGTCCCCATCCTTAATTTGGGGCAAGCTCAACACCCTCCCCACCACATCACCAAATTCCTTGGGGCTGTTGTTTTCCATGATGATATTTAGGGTGGATGAGCTAAAAGACTACGTTTTCCAATTTCTTTTTGCAGATAGAAGGTGGCCAGTGAGAAGTAAGTAGAGTCTTTGGGGGGAGATCCTGGGAAGTCTTTTTTAAAGGCGTAAACTCACTTAGTGGTGCCTTCCCCAAACCCCCACCTTTTGCTTTGCGTTTTGCTTTTTCCCATGGAATATGACATGACGGGTGAGGTTCCTGCAGCCATTTTGTGATCTTGAGGATTAGAGCCATATGCTAAGCATGGCAAAGCAGTATGTCAGTAGAAGCCTAGTCCCATATGACACCATGGAACCCCTTCTTCAGCCTCGGACTCCACACTTCAGAGTTCCGTTATATGAGAGAGAAATAAATCACCTTTTTGAAATCACTATTGTTTCTGGCTTATGTCTTTTGACACTGAATAGGGCTTCGGCTTCCAGAATTCTTGGTATGTGAGATAATAAATTTCCTTTGCGGCAATACCCAGTTTCCTCTCTCTAAGAAGATTGTAGTTTCCTGCCCTCTTGAACTCAAACGCGGCTATGCCATTTGCTCCGGCCGATGGAATGCGAGGAGTGATGTGTGTCCTTTCTGGCAGAGGCCACAAGAGACAGCGCGTGTCTCACCTTATTCTCTCTTCTTTCTGTCACTGATAACCAGAACGGTTTCTGGTGGTGGCTTCTCTACCAGCTGAGGTCACATCTTGCTCTCAGCCCACCCATGATTGACGTGAGGCGTAGGTACAAACAAACCTTTGCTGTTGTAAACCACTGAGATTCTGAGATTATTGCTGTCGATTTCAAGCAAAAATGGGTTAGCTTGGTGTGAGGAACGAGCAGCTTTTTTGGAAAGGCTAGTGGAGGAGGTTCTAGGCTAAGACTTTGCAAATGATTCCCAGAACCTGATGATAAGAAAAACTTCGCCTCTCTTCCCGTCTGTTTCTTGTTTCCTCTCCCACTACCCGCCACACCGAGCAATTCCCTGTGACACCAGCGGGGTGTCCTACACTTCAGCTCAAGTCTGACACTAACCAGAGTCAATGCACTCCCCACAGGTTAAGGGCTCTGTCCCCACGAGGCTGCCCCCCTCATTTCTGATGCCAACTGTCAGTAGGTCTGTCGAACTTGGCTCCAAATTGGAGGTTCCCACGACTCTCTCACCTTGGATTTGGTTATTTGCTGGAACAGCTCATGGAACTCAGGGAAACACTTATGTTTGCCGGTTTATTATATAACAAAGGATATGATAAAGGATGTGGATGGACAACCAGGGGAGGAGAACATAGAGCAAGGTCTGGAGAATCCTGACTACGGGAGCTTCTGCCCTGCGTGGAGCTGGGGGGCAGCCCCATCAGGTAGGCTTCATCATGCAGGCATGGCTGACCGTTAACTCAATGTCCAGCCCCTCTCTCTCCTCCAGACGATGGGGTTGGACTGGAAGCTACAAGCTTCTAATCATAACTTGGTTTTTCTGGTGACTAGACCCACTGGGGAGCCTACCCCACTTTGCCCCGTTATAACAAAAGAAACTCCTGCCACCCCAAAACTCCAAGGGTTTTAGGAGCTCTGTGGCAGAAACTGGGACCAAAAACCAATATACATATTTCCTATCATTTTACAGTAACGGAACCAACCCCTGGCGGGTGGGGCTTCTCCCTCCACGTCAGCTGAGGGGTCCCCTGCCCGCCGTCTATGGCACCTTCAGCGTCCTGTTGCTCTGTCTCCGATCCAGGACCCAGAAGCCGTCACCACCCAACACATAACTGCCTTTTTATGTTATATTTTGTTGTGTTTTGTATTGCGGTATAACTTACGTGTCCCCAAGTACATAGACCTGAAGCCTGCAGTGAAGTTGGCGCTGCTCTCTGTGACATAAATACGTTCGTGTAACCTGAACCACCATCGTGGGACAGAACATTTCAACCCTCCAAAAAGTGCGCCCTCTCGCTTCGTCTCAGTCAACGCCCCACCCCCACAGTAGGGGCAACATAAGAGTCGTAAAAGCAACTATTGTTCTGACTGATACCACCATCAATTAGTTTTGCTTATTCCAGAACTTTCTATTATTATACAGTCTGGGCTCTTTTGTAGCTGGCTCCTTGCACCCAAGATAATGCTTTTGAGATTCATCCACAACATCATGTGTACCAGTAGCTTCTCCTGTTTATTGCTAAGTACTATTCCCTCACAACATGCCACAGGTTGTATGCATGCACATGTGTGCGTGCGTGTAATATATTATATCATTATATATATATTCATATATATAATGATATAATATATATATAATATATATATATAATATATGAATGATATTCCCTCCTGATTGTTAGGCATCTGATTAGCAGATGGTGGGTGTCAATCACAAACATTTTTAGACTCCCCCTATATGTATATATTACATACTATATATATATCACATATGTAATATACATATATTATAATCATACATCTATACATATACACAATACAGATCTCATATGTATATATACTATGTATCACATATGTTTGTTTTCAATGGATTTATCTTTATGGCTACCTTCCACTTACATGAAGCAGTGCTGGTTTTCCATATATGAATGTTCCTTTTGAAATAACTGTACTTAAGGTAAGAAGGGAGGTGATCTTGAGGTGCCCGAGTGACTCAGTCCATTAAGCCTCTGACTTTTGATTTCGCCTCAGGTCATGATCTCACAGTTTGTGGGATCGAGCCCTGTGTCAGGCTCTGTGCTAACAGCTTGGAGCCTGCTAGGGATTCTCTCTCTCTCTCCCTCTCTCTGCCCCTCCTCCACTCATGTTCACTCATTATCTCTCAAAATAAATAAATAAGCTTAAAAAAATAAAGCGAGGGGGTGCCTGGGCAGCTCACTTTGGCTCAGTTGGCAAAGTGTGTCCGACTTCGGCTCAGGTCATGAGCTCTTGATTTGTGAGTTCCAGCACTGCCTATCTGTGCTGACAGCTCGGAGCCTGGCACCTGCTTCCAATTCTGTGTCTCCCTCTCTCTCTGCCCCTTCCCCGCTCACACTCTGTATCTCTCTCTCTCTCAAAAATATTAAAATTTTTTTTAAAAAAATAAAGAGAGTTGATCTCTTTAAAAAGTGAATAATAATACAGGTGGGATAAAAACGTGGCAAAAATTGAGAGGAGTTTATATAGTGTCATATTATTTGTGATACATTCCGATATTTCTCTTTTCTGTTTTATTACATTTTTTTCTATGCTACTCACAGCCCACAAAAGTGATTTCATAACCCATGAATAGGCCGTGACCTGAGGTTTGTGAAATATTGTTACGTAACCTCTTGTGAACAGGGTCTTATCTCTTATTTTGTCATTATGACCCTTAAACTGGGGTAGTGACTTTTGCCCTCAGCCCCATGCTTCAGGGGCCTGCTCTGGTCTTATCTGGTTGTGATCCTTTCAAGGGGTGACAGGGCCTTCAGGAAGTGACCACTAGCCTGTGCCCCTTCTGGAGCCTGCTCTGGGTCCCTGGGACCCTAGAAGTCCCCACTCGAGCCGCTCCGAGCCCTCTTCACCGCCTGGTGGTCTTCTTGGTGGGCACGCCCCTACACCAAGAAGTAGCCCAGAGGCAGTCATTTGTGTTGGGGGGGGCTGTGAATGGGGTTTAGACGTGCAGGCTGGGGTGTCCACACGTGTGAGAGGCCACTCCCACTGATGGAAGGATCTGGAGTGTGAAGAAAAGCATGCCGCTATGGGCCTAGGGCCTCCTTTTGTGTTTGACCAGTTACCAATACTACCTACCAACGTTAGGGGTGAGCTCGCATTGACCACAAGGCTCTGCACGTGGACTGCGCCAGGGGTCTCAAACAGCCCTAGGCAGAATCCCGGCTGATGCTCTCACCAGCCAGAGGCCCCTGTGGCCCACACTCCGGTCCCTCCTGCCTCCCACCAGCCCGGCTGTGTTCGCTCTATTCCCTGCCCTGGCTTTTGAGCCTGTGACCCCCTCACTACTCCGACCAGAGTCCCAGCCGCTTTTTCCCACCCCCTAGTCATGAATGATCAGAGACCATGGGCAAGGACCACAGTGCTTTACTCTTCATCGGAACAGAATGGGACAATGTGGGGGGGCAGGAGGAGACACCGCCCAGGGGGCCCTGCAGCCCCCAGGGTGGGCGGGGTTGGGAGCGTAGGGACCTTGGGCCATCAGCCCCCGCTCTGTCTCCATCCGGGTCTTCCTTCTCGGGCTGGACTCTACCGACTATTACATAGGCTCCGAGAAGGGAGGAAGGTGGCTGGGCACGGTGATCCAGTGGGGACTCAGTCTTGGGTGCCCATCGATTGGGCTGCCGGCCCCTACTTCTGATGGCCTCACCTGTTATAACTCCGGCACAATTGGGGTAACCGTCTACACTTGCCACCTGTGGGTGAAGGAGAGGGTTCAGTCATGAGTTGGAATAATGCTGATGATTCCATGTGCTCTGGGTGCTGGAGGACAAGGCCCGTCAGCCCTGCCCCCGGAGAAGCTTCGAGGCGGCCCTGAGCTGGTGAGGAGAAGCGCAGGGGAGAAAAGCCAGCATAAGGGCCCCCAGGGGAACAGCCTCCCCCTCACAGAGGAGCCTTTTGAAAACCCATCCTAGTTTGTGTGTTACTCATTCATTCATTCAGCAAGTATTTACTGTGTACCCACTATGTGCCAGGCTCTGATCTAGGCCCTGGGAACACCGCTGGGAACAGGAATGAATAAAATCCCTACCCTGGTAGAACTGACTTTCCAGCAGGGGAGACCGACAGTGAGAAAAATGACTAAGTGTGTGGACAGTGAGGTCAGAGGGTGATGCTTGCTCAGCAGAAAACTAAAGCCAGGAAGGAGGCAGGGAAGGCCCAGCAGCTGAGGGCATCTTCATGGTGATGCCTTGAGGGGCCTCACTGAGGAGGAGGCATTTGAGCAAAGACCTGAAGGAGGTGAGGGAGGAGCCAGGAAGGGTGTTCCAGGCAGAGTGCATGGCCAGTGCAAAGGCCCTGAGGTAGGAGGAGACAGGTGGGCTTAAGGGACAATAGGAGGTCAGGAGGTTGGACCAAAGCAAATGGGGGTGGGGGAGGGGGAGATTTCAGAAGACAAGTCTCCTGGCTGCCACCCTTGCATGTCCTTCTATTTCCCTCGGGCTCACCCAGCCCCAGCCACCCTGGCTTCTTCCCGTGCTTGTTCATGAGTTCGAGCCCCGAGTCAGGCTCTGTGCTGACAGCTTGGAGCCCGAAGCCTGCTTCGGATTCTGTGTCTCCCTCCCTCTCTGCCCTCCCCCACTCATGCTCTGATTCTCTGTCTCTCAAAAATAAATAAACATTAAAAAAATAAAAATAAACAGAACAACTCTGCCCGGGGGCCTTCAAGAACCGACTCCTCAGTCAAAGGGCAAGCCAAACCTGCCTCCCTCCCAGTCGTAGGGCAGAGGTGACCCCACCCCCACCCCCATTCTCACTGGTGAGGATGACGATGCCCGTGATGAACAGCACAGCTGCGACCAATAGCCCCCGCTTCCGGAGAGTGTCCTCATCTGCAGAGAGGAAAACGGAGTGTGGCAAGAAGGGTCTCCCTCCCTCCCTCTTCCCACATCCTCCCACAGGTAACTTACCATAGGAGAAGGGGTCGTCCTCACTGGGGCCTGGGGTGACAGACAGGGAGCAAGTCAGAGTGCAGCAAAGGTGTGTGGAGTGAAGCAGTGAGTGGCAGAGTCAGTGGGGGTGAAACTCGGTCTCTGCCTCGCGACACTTAGACCAAAAGCCTCCGATGACACAGCATGTGACTCCCATCACCTCAGCCCCTCAATCTCCTGCTCACCCAGATGCTCCAGCCCCACCGGCAGCCCTGCTGGTGGCCACGCCAGGTCCCTCTCACCTCAGGGCCTTTGCACTGGCAGCTGCCTCTGCCTGGGATGCCTTTCCCCCGACATCCGTGACTCCCCAAAGCTCCTTCTCAGGGAGGTCTCCCTGGCCCTTTGCAGAAAACTCCCCAGTCACTCTCTAATCCTAATGCTACTTTATTTCTCTTGATAGCAGCTTTAAACCACCTGATACACAATTCTTATCGTTATTACTTATTGTCTCTCTTCCCCCACTAGAATGTCTGCCCGATGAGGGAAGAGATTTTTGTCCGGCTTATTCACTGCTCTATCCCTGGCACCTAGAAGACCGTAGGTGCTCGTGAATATGTTTTGAATGAATGAATGAACTCTGAGTGACCTGGGGACATATCACTTCCATTGATTCATTGAGGCTGGCTGGGCAGGAAGTGGAAGAGAAGACCACACAGGGGAGAATCGAGGTGTCCCTGAAACAGAACACCTCAAACTGGCCCCCAAACTGATCTCAGATGCATGATTAGGTCCAGCTGAGGCCAGAAGAAGCACTCAACTGAGCCCAGACTAACGTTCCAAATTGCAGACTCCAGAGCTAAGCAAACGGTTGTCATTTGAAGCCATTGTGTTTTAGGGTCGTTTGCGTGCTGTGTTCACTTATGCAGTCATTCGTCTGTCAGGGCATCTATTGGATGTCTGCCTTATACCCACCCTCTTCCAGCCTTGAACTCATGTATTCGGCCAACACATGTTTAACGAGGACCATTTCATGCTGGGCAGTGGTCCGGGTGCTAGAAATACACAGAGAATAGGAAATAGCTATTTCCAGTCTGGGAAGGGACTTACTGACCAGTCGGCCCGAGGGCAGCGTCCGGCCTGACGTCTTTGCCTGGAGATCGCCTCTTGGAGAGCGTGGTGCCTTTAGTGGGAGCGGCAGAGGGAGTGGCTAGAAGGTGGCAGAGGGCGGAAGTGAGTGGTGGAGGAAATAAGGGATGTCACTGACACCCTCTCCCACGTCCCCACATTCAGTGGGCAGGCACAGCAGCCCCCCACTCCTACCCCGGGGACAGCAAGGAATGGCAGGTGTGGAAAGACTGAGTGAGCCTAAACCCTCAGCTCTTCTCCTGGGACCTCCCAGGCTGCTCCATAATCCAGGAAGCAAAGGGTAGCATCTCTCTGAGCCAGGCAGGGGGTAGGGGGCCTCCAGGACACGGGCCCAGCACCAGGAGAAGCAGAGCCTGGACATACTTGTTATAAAACACTTGGAAGGTCACTTCTGCTCCCAGACCAGAAATACCAGAAGGTTCCTTTCTTTTTTATTTTTAAAAAATTTTTTAAATGTTTTATTTATTTCTGAGAGACAGAGAGAGGCAGCGTGAGCAGGGGAGGGTCAGAGAGACAGGAAGACAGAATCTGAAGCAGGCTCTAGGCTCTGAGCTAGTTGCCAGCACAGAGCCCGACGTGGGGCTTGAACCCACAAACCGTGAGATCATGACCTGAGCCGAAGTCTGACGCTTAACCAACTGAGCCACCCAGGCGGCCCGGTTCTTCTCTTTAAAGCCGGGGCACCTAGGTGGCTCAGTTGGTTAAGCATCCGACTCTTGATTTCGGCTCAGGTCATTTCGTGAGATGGAGCCTCACATCGGACTCTGTGCTGACAGGGCAGAGCCTGCTTGAGATTCTCTCTCCCTTTCTCTCTGCTCCTCCCCCACTTGTGTGTGCATGCTCTCTCTCAAAAAAAAAATTTTTTTTTAAAAAGGATATTAAACAGAAAGTCAATGCCCCAAAGGAAATATCTGCCCTTCTGGCCCTGAGAAGTGTCCCCAGCGAAGTGGTCACCCCTGTCTGATGCCCCAATATGAAGCCAACAGGCAGAAAAGCTGCCTCACAAAGACCGAGCTTCCAGACCAATCCCAGAGCCTCACTTCTTAAGTATGACCTGAAAGCCAGGGATTGAGAGATGTTCAAAAAAGCCCAGCCCAGAGGAAGGTTCGAGCAAGGCCAGTAGCAAGGACAAACATGCGGAGACACAGGAAGTGTAAAGGACAGGAGACACAGGAAGTATAAAGGACACCCTGGCGGCGGGGGGGGCCGGGGGTGGGTGCAGCACTCAAGCACCCAGCTGCCAGAGAGCCTGGGCTCAACTTCCGGTTCTGCCATTTGGGGCTGTGTGGCAGAGTAACCTCTTGGGCCTCGGTTGCCTTCCTGTAGAATGGGGTTTTGACAGTTCCTACCCTGTTGGGTGCTTGTGAGCAGTGAATGAGTGGATAGAGGAAAAGAGCTCCCAGTTAATGTTGGCGTCGCTGTTACCATGGAGGTGGCTGCACGCCTCCCTTCTTCTGAGGACAGCTTCCCTTTTCCTTGGGGAGACAGCACCCCTTCCCCAGTCCGGCTGGTTCTATTGTGACACAGGCCACAAGGGGGAGCATGTGACCCAGGCTCATCCTTCCCTGGAACCTTCCGCTTTCCCAGGAAGCACTGGGAGCGACAACTAGGTGAAGTGTGGAGCTCTGAGCCTGCAGATGGCAGGGGCCGTTTCCTCACGGGGCAGAAGACAAGATCCAGCACAAGAAAAACAAAGATAGAGGAGGGAGAGCGGCGCTGGGGGACCCTGAGGCTCAGGAGTCCATGACCCCTCAGCCTAGTGGAATTTCCCTCACGTATTATCAGGAACACAGAATAACACAGAGTAACTCAGGTCAACGAGGATTCACAGCAAATGAATCCAGAGATGTGAGAAGGTTTTTACCACTGGGAAGCGTGGACACAGTCACTACGCACCCCCACCTGCACTTTCGTGGAAAACAGAAAAGTTCTCTTCTCCAACACACTTTACTTCCATCTGTTGTAAAACTGTTTTAATAGACAGGCTCTATGAGAATTAAATGATTTACTGCCATCCCTGGAAAACTACAACAATTATAAAAATCTACAAGGGGGATGACATGGTCTTTAGAGGTGATGCTCTTGTTCAGTGCCCAGTCTACACAACTGTGCATGCATCTTAGCCTGGAAATAGCCTAAGCTACAGTACTTTCCAGTAGAGGCTGATCCTCCAGACAAGCACTGGAGGCCACCTGCTGCCTTCACCTTGGCTCCACCTCTTTTCCCACACACCTCTGAAATGTTAACTACTCACTGGTCCTGAGGGGAACTACCTCTTCCCTGCCTCTTGGTCTATGCAGTTCATGCAGGGCTGACCCTGCCCCCCATCTCCAGAATGGGCATAAGACTCAAGCCCCACCACTCAGAGCAACCCATTTCCCAGGCTTCCATTGGTCAGACACGGCATGTTACAGCAAAAGGGCCGATGAGAGTCCACTTTATTCCTTGGGCTGGCGATGAGAAAAAGATATGCCCTGTTTGCTGGGTTCGTGGCATAAAAACAACTATGGGACCATCTTTGCCACCAAGAGAGGAAAAGTCCCTCGAGAACATGAGAATGTAGACAGCAGAGCTGAGAGAGAGAGCACGTCCGGTCTGATGACAGTGCTGGAGCACCTGGATGCAGTTGTTCCTGATATGGATGCCTTTGGACTTCACAGAACATATGTAACCAATAAATCTAGTTTGGTTTTAGTTGCATTCACGGTCTTTTGCAACTGAAAACCTCCTGTTCTAACATGAAAAGGTACATGAAGGAAACACCTACGTCCACAATTCCGGGCACCAGCCCCGTAAAGGAGCCTGAACAGAAGAAAGTTCCAAGTCTATCATATCAGGTTTGGAAAACACTGCATACTTAGGTGCTCCTGTAGGTGATGCCTGCTACAAATAGGCGTTGATAAGACTCCAGGAAGTCCCACTATAAAGAAATAGGTTTAACTTTAAATCAAGGATTCACAGCAAGGATTTAAATCAAGAGTTTCCCAAACACCTTTGACCGCAAATCAAAACGGACTTTTTGAAAATGTATTAACAATTCCCCAAACAGGTGCTCTGAGCAGTGTGCCTGGGGAGCTGCTGACCCAGACAGAGAATTAAACAAAATTTATATCTTACCCTTCTAGTCCCAGGCCTTACCTTCTGGGCCGCTCGGGCCCGTCCCCGGGTCTGTTGCTAGGAGCACATCCATCGGCGTCGGCTGTGGGGTCTGGGTCTCCTCCGCCTGCTCCTGTGTTGTTCCTACTCAGGTCAGATGAGCAAGGAGGCACGGGTGTGACTCAGGGACATACAGACCCATCAAACAGCAAGGGCCCCTCTCCCTCCTCTGGATGGAGGAAGTCAAAGTCAGTTCACGTTCCAAATGTCACTGTGTGGGTGGGACAGGGGGACTCTCTGGCTCATGGCTGGTGGCACGGCAAATCCGTGCCGCCATTTCCCAGGTCACTTTTCCAACAAATTTCAGCGTCTGTGCCCTTTGCCCCATAGTGTGGTGGGTAAAAGCAAGACCGCAGAGCCAGGTTCTGGGTCCCCTCGTCTGAGCTGGGTCACTGACTGGTGACGCCCTGGGTGTCAGGGCGTCAGCCTCTGTTTCGGTATTCTGTAAAGTTCGGTTGTTCGACCTCAGAGGGTTTGTGTGAGGACTGAATGATCAAATACGGGTAAGATATTTAGAACCGTGACCAATATATAATATATAATAAGTGTGAAAAGCATTTGCTTAAGGAGGAATGGACAAGGTTGCTTACTGTGGCACTGGGTGTAGCAGAGGAGGTGAAGATGTTTGTGCACAGCTTCACTAACCGTGCACAGGCACCAGGTGAGTACCATGCAGCAGTGCGAAAGGATAAGATTGGTGTTCATATAGGAATGTGGGAACAGCTTCCAGACTGCTGCATGCGAGGCGGATGCGGGGTGGGGGGTGCGGGGGTGCGGCGAAGCAAGTTTTAGAACAACTATCGTTTAGGAAATGATCGGCTCACACAAATACACCTCCCGGTCAGGATACTTTCTGTGGGCAATCTACGGCCATACCACCCTGATCGCGCCCGATCTCGTCTGATCTCGGAAGCTAAGCAGGGTCGGGCCTGGTTAGTACTTGGATGGGAGGATATTTTCTGTGGGCATTCACGTGGCACAGTAATCACTGGGGACTATTCCCCTTCCAGTGCTCGCAGTGGGGACCTCTCAGAGATGGGGGAGAAAACAAGAATGGGGAATGGGCCGAGGGATTTCATCTCCCTATAATATTGTTATTATTCCCAAGCAGAACGGGTTTAGGTAAATCATTTATATTGAGCTATATCATTAAATGAGCTATATCCTTAAATATTAACAGGAAAAATTGGGGAGCACTTTCTGAATCATGCTACACTCCCAAGATGAAGTTCAAAAACGACTTGAAAACTCAAAAAAGGAAAAAGATCAAGAGACTAAAGGAAGAAATGAATGGCCTTGGAGCATGGGGGCGTTCCTGGGGTGGTTGCAAAGCTCTGTTCCCTGAGCTGGGTGGTGGTGACACAGGGGCTCAATTTGGAAGAATTTGTTAAGTTGTACATTTATGGGTTTTGTACTTTTCTCTCTGCATCTTATTTTTCACGACTGCAAAAGATTTGTTTTTAAACAAATGGATGTGGTGGCTGTCTGCCCCACCACCCAGAGAACTCAGAGCAGAAGAATTGAAATGAGTAACCCAGGACCCAGAGTGTGGGAGGAAGAGAGGGAACGGTGTTTGCCCCAGGCCCCCGCCCCACCCCCTCCCCATGCCCCACTCACCACCAGCCTGCAGAGGTGTCTGAGGGGTGGACTGGGACTCTGGTTGGACTGTGTCTGGAATCCAGAAACAGGGAGAGAAAAGAGAGAAGATGTGGAGAAGGTCCACGGATGGAGGAACAGGGGGATTTCCTCTGCTACTCAATTTTGATATAACTGAAATGACTTAATTAACCCAGCCATTTGCCAGGCCAGTACCTCCCCTGCCTCAGCCCTCCCCTCCCGCAGATGCATATTCCCCCGTTCAGCATCCACCCACCTCTGGTAAGAGCCCCTGGAACTTTCTTTATGAACCACCCTTCCCTGATTCTGGGTCCACTTCATTCAGTGCGGTTGGCACAGGATTGCTTGGAGGTAGAACCTAAGACCCAGGTCTGGCAATCAGCTTTGGCTTATGGCCACCATGGTCAGCCCCTGGGTGGGCATGTAACCCAAGGGCTCAGCTGTGCGGCATTTGCTGGTTTGGGGAAGAGGAAATGCCCTTTCCTCTGGCTTCTTAGTAGGTAGCAGCCATCTTGGCCCCATAAAAGGAGAATTTACCTGAGAATGAAGTGAACACAGGAAAAATAGAGCCAAGAAATGGAGACAGGTTCCTGACACCATCATTAGAGCACCTAGACTGAGCCATGCCAGACAGTCTACCACTGGACTTTTCAGTTGCATAACCCAAAATTCCCGATCGGCCCGAGCTTGAGATTTTTGTGGCTCTTGCTAACTGCAGTGACAGGATCTTGACAGACTTATGCCTCTTTCCTCACCTGGGGTTTGAGTCAGGGCATGAATGTTCACAGTGGTTGAGTCTGCTGAAGGAATGGATGTGGTCTCCTCTGATGTCTGTCCTGGGAGATCAAGAACGAGAAGTCGGAGAGGAGCCTCTGGTCCTCTTTCGCCAAAACCCCACCACGCCCTCCCTCCTGAATCCGTGGGTGGTAACTCGGGACATCCTGGTGGGGCAGCAGACAGACATTTGAATGGTAGTGTCTGCCCACAGCCCTGCAAGGGCTTTGAGAAATGCTGATGCCCAGCACCCTTCCTCCAGCCCCTCTTCCGGCCCATCCTTGTGCGGTGGGAGAGGCAGTTTAGCCTAGTGAGTCCAGGTCCATTCTAAAGCCAGCCGGGGCCCTGGCCTCAAATTCTGCCCCCCAAAATTCCCTCACCATGCGACCTGGAGCGGGTGAAGGCCCCCCTCCGAGCCTCATCTGTCTCATCTGCAAAGTGGGGATAATCACTGACTTTATGATAGGAAAAGATAGGGTAAACGAGGCAGAAAGGGAAAGGCTAGGACCTGAGGTCCCTGGGTGGGGAAAAACACATATTCTGGAACAATGCTGGGAGTGTCTGACTATAGCAAACCCCCTAGGGCATAAGGTTCCTCTTAAGAATATAACAGACACCACCTACTCCCCCTTAGGGTCCCCTTAGGAATTTGAGAATCAAAGTAACTAACTACAATCAGTAAACCCTAAAACTTATGTTATACAAAGGACAGTAGGACCACAGTCTGACTCCTCACACAATGGAATCGAGCCAATCAGGAACGGACAGCCCAGGGGTGCCTGGATGGCTCAGTCAGTTAAGCGTCAGACTTCAGCACAGGTCATGATCTCACAGTTCGTGGGTTCGAGCCCCACGTCGGGCTCTGTGCTGACAGCTAGCTCAGAGCCTGGAGCCTGTTTCGGATTCTGTCTCCCTCTCTCTCTGACCCTCCCCTGCTCACGCTGTCTCTCTCTCTCTCTCAGAAATAAATAAAACATTAAACAAACAAACAAACAAAAGGAATGGACAGCCCAGCACCCAGAATGATCAAGCCAATAAGGGCAGGACCTGAGAAGGAACAAGGGGCTTAGGGAAGAGGGGGTGACCAAAACCTTATAAAACAAAGTCCCTATTGTCATGTGCCTATTGTCACAGGCATTCATTTTGAATGTCTTCTCTCTGCAAACAGAGCTTTCATACTATTCTTACTCTAATACTATTTCATGCTATTTTTATACTCTAATAAACTTTTGCCTGCTGCTCATTTTATCCTGTGTCCACCTCTTCATTCTTAGAAGTGGTGAAACAATGAATGCCAGGTATTGAGGTTAAAAAAAAAAAATCCTGTAACATTTCTTGGGGGGCTTATCCGGAATATCAACGTCTCCCAACCCTAAGTAAAGAGCAGCCAGCACCCCCTCTTTTCTGTCTATCCTAAATAAAACTCTCAAACTAAATAATGGGCACCCATCCACTAGTTAAGAGTGAATAGTGTGGCTGACATTCTCAAGTCTCGGGTGACAGGCTCCTTGGGTCTCCTCCCATCGGGTCTCCCAATGTAGCTGGGAATGTTGTAGAGTCCCGACTTCCTTTCGAGAAGAACCTCCAGATGTGTAGGACTCGGCGGAGGCCGAACAGCAACTGATGGGTCCTGACCAAGGCTACTCTTTGGTGGACACCCAAAGGCCATTGGCAGAACCGGATCCCTGGCTGCCCGCCTGGGTATCTAGTGGAATTCTCCTCTCTCTGTCTTGGCCAGCCCCTCCCTTCCTCTGGGAAATGAGTGGAAAAGCCCAGGACTGATCCTTCTGATATCCTCCTAGGAGAGATCTAGGTGACTTCCAAGGGTCCTACTCACAGGCTTCCCCAAAACAATGGAAGGCGGCCTTGTACTTTCTGATGCTCTGACATGGCTCACCTCCCAGGTCCCCAGTTTTTACCTTTCACTTTCAAAAGTCTCTTGCAGAGCAGAGAGCAGGACTTAATTCATCCCCTTCTGGGCTCACCACCCTCCTCCTGCTCCTGATGCCCACAGGGGGATGGAAAGAAGACACCTGGCAGCCTCCCACAAGACGCAGATGATAATTGGAGCCAACTGTCTCTGGTCAGTCTACCTCGGGACAGGGACTTTAAGGCATATTCCCAAGCAGCTGGTGAACCTCCTTCTGTTTTCAGGGAAGTTTCCTGACTTCTCTGGCCTCACATGGACTGCCCATTTCCAGTTGGTGGGGGGGGAAATCTGCATCTGCTCATCTGTCCGAGCTGGCAGGCTTTAGAACTAGGGGACCTGTTTCTCTGCCCTCTGGGTTTTTATCTGCCTCCAGGCTTCTCGGTGACACCTCACCTCTCCTGCCTTCCCCTCGCTTCTGCTGTTTTTGCACCAGCTTGGGTGCAGCCTGCATAACTGGCTCCGATACCTTTGGGGGCCTCCCGCACCATGGGCTCCTCCTCTCCCCTCACTGTCAAGAACAAAAAACACCCCCTTAGACTTACACCGCCCACTTCAGATTTCCTCGCTGGTGCCCCAGGTAAAAACTGACAACGGCGAACAAATTGATTGACTTTTAAACGGACACGGATGGAACATGATTTGGTACTTAAACTAATTTAAGTTTGTTAGTCTAATTAAGATAGATAGGTCTGGGGGCGCCTGGGTGGCTCAGTCGGTTGGGCATCTGACTTCAGCTCAGGTCATGATCTCGTAGTTTGTGGGTTCGAGCCCCGCGTCGGGCTCTGTGCTGACAGCTCAGAGCCTGTTTCGGATCCTGTGTTTCCCTCTCTCTCTGCCCCTCCCGTGCTCATGCTCTGTCTCTCTCTGTCTCAAAAATAAATAAATATTTTTAAAAAAAGGTGAACTTCTATCTCTACTGTATAGTGTAATTTCATATGGAGTTTTGTAATCTAATGCAAACTTGTTAGCCCTCAAGGGCTATGGGGGANCCTGTGTTTCCCTCTCTCTCTGCCCCTCCCGTGCTCATGCTCTGTCTCTCTCTGTCTCAAAAATAAATAAATATTTAAAAAAAAAAAAAAAAAAAAAAAGATAGATAGGTCTGTAGAGTCCTCAGCATTTCCTAGATGGAAACTGGAGGCCAAGCAAGCACATGTTATCTCTGTTGCAGTTTGTCAGCAAAAAGGTGACTTAAAATAATGGTTGACTTTGTCTGTCTCAAGGTGTTCATGGGTCATTGTTAAGATAGCTTTCAGGGTCTTTGATAACCTGAAACTCTCAAGTTTTGCTTGAAATTCATTTGGACATTTAAAAAAGTACGGGGAGGGGGTGCCTGGGTGCAGTCGGTTGAGTGTCCGACTTCGGCTCAGGTCATGATCTCACGGTTCGTGCGTCTGTGAGCCCCTCATCAAGCCCTGAGTCTGCCTCGGATTCCATGTCTCCCTCTCTCTCTCTCTCTCTCTCTGCCCTTCCCCACTCACACTCTGTCTCTCTCGCTCTAAAAAAAAAAAAAAGTGATTAAAGAAGTACGGGGATATGTAAGAAAGACATAAGAAATGGAAATATGTACATATTTGTTGAAGGTTAAAAAAAAAGTAATTTTGTCCTAAATGAGACTGGTTGTTGGGAGAGAAACAGCTTGGGACAAAATCTAAAAGTTATAGATGATTTGTAAAGGAAAAAATGTAAACAAAGGGTTTTTTCCCCTCTTTTGTCTGACCAAAAAGATGGAAAGAACTATTATTTTAACCAAAAGGGCAGGACAGCATGCCCTTTTGAGTTGTTTTGCTCAAGCTCTGATTAAAACTGCCCCTCCTTTGATCTGAAGGCTGGGGAGATGGTGGTGATGTCCTCACTGCCAGCCTCCAAATGCTCCACATTATTTGTGTTGCTTCTGCAAGGCAGAGGAACGGATGCCTGTACCACATGAGGGATGGATGACTATGATACATGAAGAGCTTTTTTTTAATGTTTATTTTTTATTTTGAGAGGGAGAGCGTGAGTGGGGTAGTGACAGAGAGAGAGAGGGACAGAGGATCCAAAGCAGGCTGTGCTCTGACAGCAGCGAGTCTGATGTGGGACTCAGACTCATGAACTGTGAGATCATGACCTGAGCCAAAGTCGGACGCTTAACCGACTGAGCCACCCAGGCGCCCCTATTAAAGGTCTTTTACTGGGATGCGTGGGAGCCATTTTGCTACACTTAGCCCACTGTATGCTGACTTATACCAATCCAGACACTTTAAAGTGGACACCCACATGGCTGGAACATATTTATGTGGGCACTGCTGAAAAAAACAGGAAATAGACCTCGACTTTGGCCCTTTTAGCCTCCCTCAACGGCCAATTTTATCCTTACAAGAAAAGTTTTTGGCCAGCCTTTTGAGATATATTTGTTAAAAGGAACAGTTTTATTATGATCAATATGTAAATTACTATTGGGCCAGAATAAAATTAGTGCATCCTTCTACAACCAGGGGAGGCTTGCTTGGTCATAGCAGACACCCCCAAAGCCCTGCAGTCAGGAAACAGAGGGGTAAGAGAAATCGGGGAAGACAAGGTCAGCTCTGGGAGGTAGGGTCAAGCCTGGGTAATGGCGACTATTCCCAGCACCTCGCAAGCCTGACAGGGCTTTCGGCTGCCAGTCGCAGAGCCAGCCAAAGGCGGAGTCAGGAGATGAGGCTTCTGCTGGCCAGCTATAGGAAATTGAGATAAACGATGCCTTTTCCTCTTTTTCTTGTACATGGGCAATTCCCCAACCAAGGCTAGTACCTCTTCGGGATGCATTCTGAAAAATCGGGATGATTTTGATCCACGAACCCTAAAGAAAAGCAACTCATTTTCTTTTGCACCAAGGCTCGGCCCCAGTACAAATTGGAGGAGGAAGCCTGGCTGCCAGAGACAAGTGACAATTAGAATACTATCCTACAATTGAACGTGTTCCCAAACGTGAGGGGAAATGGGGAGAAGTCCCCCCTGTTCAGTGTTTTGGGGCCTTAAGAGAAAAGTGAGATAGATGTGAGCAATGTAAGGTCGATCCTAGCCTACTGGCAACCCTCTCCAAGGGGTTCACAACTAACGAGGGAGAAAACCAAAGGTCCCTGCCTGTACCCAAAGCAGACCTAGGGAAGGAGGAAGGGAAGTCTTCCACCCCAACCCCCTCCCCCTTCGGGTCCTCGATCTGTACATCCAGACTTCAAAAAATGTGCACTTCTGGTCCCTGCGGCCCACCTTGTCCAGGCCCTCCCGGCAGTGTAACAGGTGTGTTTCCCCTAATGGCAGCTAGAATGCCCCCCGGGGGGTGGGGGCGGAAGGGCGCAAGGGGGCACCACTCAAATAAGATTACAAGTACCTTTTTCATTACAAGATTTAATGATCCAGGTAAGTAAATAGAGGCTTTTCAGAATATCACAGTATGTTTTTGAATTGACCTAAAAAGATACAGTGCTTTTAATGAGACAGAGAAGCAGGGGGTTCAGGCAGTGGCTAAAAGATATGGGGACGAGCAACTCATTGATTATCATGGGATTGGAAGTCCTATAAGGACCCAGGCAGTTCCATCCCAAGAGCCTACTTGGGCCCCTATGACCACCCCGTTGAGGAATGGTATTGCCACCACGTCCAAGCTTGTGATTTGGAGGAATTAAGGAGATCTAAGGTGAAACCTTTAAATTACGTTAAATTAGCCACTATCTTACAGACACAGGATGAAAACCCGGTGATCTTCCTGGAAAGGCGAAGGGAGGCTCTCATTAAGTATACGGCTATCTCCCCTAACACCCCTGAGGCTGAGACAATTCTAAAGGACAAATTTGTCACTCAATCAGCTCCAGATATTCGGAGAAGGCTGCAAAAATTGGCTGTTGGCCCAGAAGGGACCCTGAAGGAGTCCTTACGAGCTGTCAATTGGGCATATCACAACCGAGATCAAGAGGAAAATAAGGAACAGGAAAGGAGGCTTGGGAAAAAAATCTGAGGCCTTAGTTGTGGCCTTATGTACTATGTCAGACCGGACTTCCCGAGGTCCTGGCACCAAGGGACATTTGTAAGAATGTCCTCAGAGGGGACAATCAAAGTTGAAACCGCCTTAAGCCATGCCCCCTGTGTGGAAACAGTCACTGGGAAATCCGAATACCCTCAGGGATCCTCTATCCGCAAAGGCTTAGATAACCAGTGTCCCTGAAAGGGACTGGTGGGGTCCGGGGCTCTTTATGGTGGCTCCCCCAAACCAACTACCTAACGGAAACCCAGAACCTGGGTAACTCCAGATACAGAAGGAAACCTGGTTGAATTCCTTGTTGACACTGGAGCCACCTTTTCTGTCCTCCTTTCCGCTCCCAGCCAACCATCCAAAAGGAAGTGTAGCAATTTGAGGCGTCTCCAGAAAACATATGACTAAATTTTTCTCTCAGCCACCGGGTGCATTATGGGGAGACTTGAATTTTTCACATTCTTTTTCAATAATGCCAGAGAGCCCCACTCCCTTGCTAGGAAGGGCCATTATGACTAAATTAGGGACCACAGCCCTCCTGACTCTGGGACAGATAAACAGTGGCCTAAACTTATAGCAATCTGGATATCGAAGCTCCATCTTTCCTTGAGGTAAAATTAAATACACCTCATGGAGTTGTTCCTATGGACACCGGATGGCCAGAGGAAGATTTGAGGACTGAGAACCGAGAACTAGTTCAGGTGCTTAATTATTCTAACCTACAATATCACAAGATCCAAATAAATATGGAAGAGGGAGAAAGACTATAGTTAAATTGATAGGATTAAAAAAAAATGACCAAACATGTCAGGGATTTTTGGGATGGCTGCGATGTGTCTTTCCTTCCTACGGTATGACCTCTCTCCAGGAGGCATTGCATGTGGAATATTAACACTCACTAGTCTAATTCTTCGTGTATGTCATCTGAAGATGCCATCGCATAGGCCACAAAAATAAGACACCCAAGAAAATTCTGCTAGCCCAGATATTTCAAACCCCCTCCAGCTTATCAGACCTCTGGATCAACCTCTAAACCTGCCCCAACTGCCATTCCCAACTGCCATTCCCCCACCATCGCCCCCTTCAGCAGGAAGAAGTTAAGAAGAGTCAGTCAACGTCTGGGTTCCTAACGGCAGTTAGGAGTCATGTGTTCAGAGCAGAGACCATGATAGGAAAAGATAGGGTGAAATGGCGGAGAGGGAAAGATTAGGACGCGAGGCCCCTGGGTGGGGAAAAACACATATTCTGGAACAATACTGGGAGCACCTTACCACAGCAAACCCCCACGGGCGTAAGTTTCCTCTTAAGAATGTAACAGACCCTGGGGCACCTAGGTGGCTCAGTCAAGCATCCGACTCTTGATTTTGGCTCAGGGTCTTAATCTGATCTCACAGATCATGAGTTTGAGCCCCGAGTCAAGCTCTGAGCTGACAGCTTGGAGCCTGCTTGGGATTCTCTCTCTCTCCCTTTCTCTCTGCCCCTCTCCTGCTCACACACTCACACACACTCTCTCTCTGTCTCAAAATAAATAGACTTAAAAAAAAATAAAAGAATGTGACAGACACCACCTACACCCCCTCAGGGTCCCCCCAGGGATCTGACAATCAAAATGCCTAACTACAATACGTAAACCCTAAAACTTATACAAGGGACAGTAGGACCCCACAGTCTGACTCCTCACACAGTGGAACCGAGCCAATCAGGAATGGACAGCCCAGCACCCAGAGTGATCAAGCCAATAAGGGCAAGACCCGAGAGGGAACAAGGGAGAAGGAGGGATGCGGAGACCACCAGAACCCTATAAAACGAAGTCCTTGCCTACAGTTGTGGGCATTCACTTTTGAATGTCCCCTCTCTGCAAACAGAGCTTGCATACTCACTTTCTCATACTCTAATAAACTTTTGCCTGCCGCTCATTTTATTCTGTATCTACCTCTTCATTCTTTGAAGTGGTTCCAGACAACCCCGGTACTGAGGTTAAAAAAAAAAAATCCTGTAACAAGTCTACTTCTCAGGGCTGGAGAGGGTGAAATGACATGGCAGAGGAGACGGGCTCCCCCACTGCCTGATACGCAGCCATTGCTGGAGACAGCCACTGCCCTGCCCTGGCCCAGCCTCTGCCCTGCCCTGGCCCGGCCTCCATCCTCTCCTGCCTGGACACGGGAGCCACTCCGCCCTGGGCTCTCTGCCCTCACCCCCGCCCCCTGCAGTCTGCTTCCCACTCAGAGCCAGAGGGACCCTGTGAATCCCTGGGTCGGGTCGAGGCCCTCCTGGCACAGAGCCCCCTCCTTCTTCCAGTAAAAGCCCACGTACTCATAGGACCCTCCCCCTCCCCACTCCATTTGGTCTCCTGTCCCCCCTCTGATCTCTCCCCTTCCACCCTGCCTTTGTTGACCCCCACCCAGCTTCTGGGCCTGCCTGCTGTTCATCACACTCACCAGAGAGCCCTCCCCCCAAGTACCTGTTTGGCTCACTCCCTCATCTCCTTGGAGTATCTGCCCAAATGTCACCTTCTAGTGAGGTCTACCCAGGCCACAGTGTCTAAGGAATCCTCACTACCCTGTTCTGTGTTTCTCCACTGCGCCTGCCACCTTCTACCATGCTGTACCATTTACTGATGCGTTGTTTACTGCCTGTGTCTCAACTCGAATGTGAACTTCGGTTTCATGTGCTGCTGCTTCCCCAGGGCATAGGATAAGATCTAGCACATAGTACCTGCTCATTGAATACTTGGTGAAACACCGAAAGGAAAAATGAAAACCATTTTATCAAAGAGAAAATGGGTCCCGGGGGCAGGAATGATGGTTGTATCCCAGCCTCTCCACTCACTAGCCTCTGGCACCGGGAACTTTCCTTTGCTGAGCCTCAGTTTCCTCATCCGTAAAATGGGCCCGGCAATATGCATAACAGAGTAGAGCTGAAGTTAAATGAGCTCAAACATGCGGCACCTGCCGGGGCCCACCGTGGGTACTGCCTTCAGGAAACACTTCCCAGGCGAGGGTGAGATTTTTCCAGCTCTTGGGCCAGCCCCAACTCACCCCCTCTGCCTAACCCTGTATCACCCAGGTATCTGGGGAGCTGCTTTGCTGGGACCCTAGGGTTCCTGGCCACTGAGAAGAAAACTGACACCAATCTCCCTGCCAAGTCAAACTCAGTGAGTTCTTTTTGGAGCTGAAATGCAGATCGCCCAGTAGGACACGCTCTGGCCAGACTTGTTGGAAGCGACCACCTAGGTGTGAAGGGTCCAAAGAGGGTGTAACCCTGGCCCCCACATCAAGACCCCCCCCCCCCGGACTTCTTGGTGCTGGCTCAACAGGAAGGTGAACCTTACCTCTGGTGGGGAGAATCACGCCAACGATGGTGAGGAGACACAGGCAACCAGAGGGCGACATCTATTGGGGGAGCAGGAGCGGGGGGTTCAGCCATGATGTCAGGGAGGCAGGCCCAGGGCAGTGCCACCCCCCACCCCACCCCCACCTGCCCCTGAGGACCTGCAGCCCCTCATGAGCCTGAGCAAGCACCTCTGGCTTCGAGGACCCCCTGCCAAGGCTGACAGCTGGTGTTCCAGGCAGGGGGAGGGTTTTAGAAGAGGAGCCCCCCCCAACCACCCCCTACTTCCATCTGCAGGTCCCCAAAGGAAACAAGAAGCCTCAGACCAGACTGGGCTTCCAGGAGCAGCCGCTGCACAGGGACACCTTTGGGGCCGAGAAGAACTCAGTCCACCGAGGCGGGCCCTACAGCGCGGGCCAGAGCAGGGGGCCTAGTGCCTCCCTCCGGGCTGTCCCCAGAGCCGAGGAGTCAGCAAGGAGGGGAAAGAGGAAGAATGAGTAATGTGCTCCCGATCTCAGAGGAAAAAGTGAGCTGGTGTGCGGGGCCTCGCGGCGGGGACAATAGAGCAGGATGCTGGGCACTTCTAGAACTGGTCCGAGAGGGATGGCGGAGAGCTGGGGAGACTGAGGCACGAGGAAGACGAGCCGGCAGCCCACGTAGCGCCCAAGAGCCGGCGCAGAGGCGTGAGCACGAGTCCGGGGGCCGGACGGGCGGGGAAAAGACGAGCCCTCCAGGCACCTGAGCCCGGCCCCCGGGCAGGGGGGAGGCGGGCGCAGGCGGATCGCGGGAGAGACTTACGTCAGAGCTGGGGGTCCCGAGCCGGCAGCCTCGTGGACAGAGGGCAGCGGCGGTGGCGGCGTCCCGGCGGAGGGTGTGGCCAGGGGAGAACTGGCGGGCGGGGACCAAGACGGGCTCAGTCATTTCCTCTCGGGTTTCCTGGCTTCAGAGCCCGCGGTGGGAGCAGGAGGGGGAGTCGCGGAGGGCGATGGGGGGCAGAGGGGAGAGGCGGGGCAGTGGCCTCCACCCACCCGCTGGGGGGGAGGGGGGGAGGGAGAGCGCAGGCAGGTCTTGGTGGGTGGGGCTCCTTTGGGGAGGAAGGGGAGCGGGGGCGGGGTGTCTACTCCTGGGTCTGAGGTGGAAGAGGCGGTTAGGGGCAACCGGGGAGGGGGCGTTGAGCAAGGGAGGGCCAGCTCTGGGGTCTCCGAGAAGGGGGTAGGCCCCTGGGGCGCTGGGGGAGGGGAGGGAGAAGAAAGGAGGAAGTCTGGGGATGAGAGAGAGCCCCCCCACGTTCAATTTTGCCCTCTCCCCCATTTTGTCCCCACAGATGAGAACTCACAGACAGAACGGGGGAAAAAACCAAATGCACATTTATTAAGCTCAAGACATAGACACCAAGGGTGCAGGGAAACGGATCTTGGGAGGGGAGACAAGGAAGTGCAGGGGAGCGGTACATGGGGATTCTGGGGGGCTGGGACTGGACTCCCGGACCCCAGGAGCTGGAGGCCTGAGTCCCTGGATCTGGGATGCAGACGGGCTCTTTGGGGGGTCGTCATTGCCAAGGCCTGGGGAGGGGCAGCGGGGTGCAGCGGCTCCAGCCTCGGGTGGGTGGGGCGGCTCATTCGGGGGAGCGCTCCCCGGCGCGAGGCTGGGGTCCCCACCGCCTCCACCCGGTCCTCAGGCTTCCGCACTCAGGCAGGGACAGCAGTGGAGGTGCCCAGGGCTGGTTTTACACACCGCCACCTCCAGGGGCTGGGGACAGGGTTGGGAGGAGAGAAAGAGAGACGGAGAGAAGATCAGAGAGGTGCACGCTGCCCCCTCCCACAGCCAGGGGCAACCCCCATCCTCTTGTGAAATCCAGACCCCCAGGCCTGTCACCTTCCAGCTAGCACCCGGGAGCTTCTTGCCTCCCACCCCCTGGTCCACGTAGGGACACTTGTGTGGCTTTGGTCTGGCCCCACTGGACACTGTCATGGGAGGGGAACACACCTGTGATGAGGCTGGAGAGCCCTGGCCCAGCCTGGGCCTTTCTGGAACGTCCCCCCTGCCAGAAAGAGTCTCCCTCCCCTTCCTGTGTTGCCAACCTCCCCCCACACTCCATCCATTCCCACACCCTGTCTCCTCAGCATTTGGACACAGCGGAAATTCCCCCCTTTCCCTCCCACTTGGGACCGTCACTCAACTGGAGTGGGGACCTTGCCCCCCAACCCCCAGTCATCCGCGAAGTGCCCCGTTGGGGTTTTTAAATCTCATGAAGAGAATATGACACACAGCACATGAAATTTCACACCCCCCCCCAAGCACTGAGTACCCCGAGGCCCACTTTTTAGTCATGAGATTTTATGAGAGGCAGGGAGATGCCCGTTTCTGATCGTTAGAAGTCCCTGGACAGGACACGGTGCCACTAAAAGCAGGTGAGATATTTTTACAGAATTTAAATTAACACCCCATGGAGTCACCATCTTGCATCTACAGCTTGTTCCCTCCTACATCCCTCCACACCCCTCACCCCTTCACACCTCTTCACACCCCCTCCCCACCCCTCACCCCTTCGCACCTCTTCACACACCCTCCATACCCCTCACCACCCCTTCACATACCCCCCCAATCTCCCACACTCCCTTCACACCTCTTCACACCCCCTCCACACTCCTCACCCCTTCACATACCCCCTCCACACTCCCATACCCCCCCATATCGCTCACCCCTTCACACCTCATCACACTCCCTCCATATTCCTCACCCCTTCACACACACCTCCACACTCCCACACCCCTCCACACTTTTCACCCCCTCACACCCCTTCATACCCTTACCCTCTCCACATCCCTACCCCCTCACAGCCCCACACCTCCCACCCCCTCCACACCCCTCACCCCTTCACCTCTCCACACACCTTATGCCTTCACACCCCCACCCCCACCCCACCCCCGACTCTTTCACCCCTCCACACACCTCATCTCTTCACACCCCCACGCCGGCCCCTTCACACTCCCATACCTCCCACCCCATCCACACCCCTCACCCCTTCATCCCTCCACATATCTCATTTCTTCACACCCCCACCCACTACCCACCCCTCATTCCCTCACACCCCCACCCTCTCCCCATCTCTCACCCCTTCACACCCCCAACCTCTCCACATCCCTGCCCCCTCACACCCCCACACCTCCCACCCCCTCCACACCCCTCATCCCTCCACACCGCCACACCCTCCACTGCCCCATCCCCGCTAACACTTCCATCTCCTTCATCCCCATCCTCTCCTATACTCCCCTCCTTACACCCTGCATCCTCTTTACTCTTTTTCCTGTACCTTCCACCCTCATACTCTTCACATCCCCATAGTCTCTCTTTCCCAAGATCAATTTTTAAAATCCATATTCCATATATCTCTCCTTTTGTTATTTTAATACAATTATCCAGGAACTCGTCCTTTCTTCCGTCCTTTTCTCTCCCCCCTTCCCTTTCCAACTTCCTTTTTCTTCCTTTTTTCTTTTTTTAAGTAATCTCTACACCCATTGTGGGGCTAGAACTCACAACCCTCAGATCAAGAGTCACATGCTCCACTGACTGAGCCAGTGGGATGACCCTTCCCTCCTTTTTCTTGATCATGCCATCCTCTGTCTTCCCACCTGAACAATGAAGTCTGGAAACTACTCTGTCTCCCTGTGTCCTCTGGTGCTTAGCTCTTTCCCCATCTGGACCTCAGAAGTCCTTCTCCTGAGTGGGGCCCCTCTCTTCACAGACGTGTGGCTTTCTCCTCTGGGGGATTAGTTCATCCTTGCTGTCTCTGGCCTCTGGGCTTGTTTCTGGGAAGCGTGGGGGGCGGGGGACGCTAGGACATTTCACATCCCACTGGCTTTCTATGGTTTAACCTCTGGTCTGCGGGGCCTCAGCTCCTACTGAGGTTGCCACACCCATTCTTGGTGGCCGTGTTCTCGGGGACACCCAGTGCAGCTACCCTTCCCCTTCTGGCCCCCACCTCTTCTTCCGCCCCCTACCCCTGGCCCTGGGACCACACCTCCCTCACCCTCACCTGAGGAAGGAAGCTCCGACTTACAGGATTTGCATGTTGGGCTGTGGAGGCAAAGACGGGGAGAAAAGCGTGAAGAAATTCAGTAGCGTAGGTAGCCCTAGGCTTCACGGGAAGGATGGGGCAGGCCCTGGACACTTTCTGCTCTGGGAGTGCCCCTGCACCCCAAGCTGCGCCCACCCCTCTCCCCTCTCTCCCCGCTGCTGCCAGACCTCTCAGACCTGGAGTCCGCCTTCCTGCACTTCACCTTCTTGCCTGTTAGGAGACAGATACAACGAGACAGGACATAAGGGTCCGGACAAAACCCAGCAGGGAGACTGTACGTGGCCAGGGACCCCTGAGGCAGCCCTCTCTGAGGGGCTTTGGAGCCCAGGAAAGGGTCACACTTACTGATAATGATGAGGATACCCAGCAGGAACAATATGGTGGCCAGAGTCATGCCCACAGTCTGCACCGTGTCATAGTCTGGGGGAGATAATGGGGGACATCAATGTGGGGTAGCCCCTCGGCCCTCCCTGGAGCCTCAACCTGGCTTCGAGGCTGCGCGGCCCGGGCTCCAGAGTCCAGTCATGCTGGAGGCCATGCCGGGGGCGCCCCCACTGGGCTCGTGTGAGGACGGAGAGCGGCAGTTCCTAGACGTCTTTACCCTCTACCCTTCTCTAGGCTCTTTGTATATACATCAAACCTTCCTCTACATCATATATATATATACACGACATAGATGTATAAATGATATAGATATGATTCATATATGATATTTATATCATATATCTATCTCTCCTCCTTCTATAGCTTCCTCCCTGGTTCCGTCCACTATTGTCACCTGTCTGCAGCAACCTGCCTGCCCCCCTGGCCACAAGATCCCGTTACCACCTGAGTCAGATCAGGGTGCTCCCGAGCTCAGAGCGCCCCATCCCACCCTGGCTTCCACTGCCTTCCAAGGAAAAGCCAAAGTCCTCACCACCGCCCACACAGCCTTGCATCATCTGGTCCCTGTTCCCTCTTGGACCTTGCCCCACTCCACTTTCTCCCTCTGCCCCCCGCCCCCCCCAAGGCATATTGGTCTCTCTACCATTCCTGGGGCAGATCCAGCATGGTCTTACCTCAGGGCCTTTGTACTGGCTGTTTCCTCTGCTTGAAAGCTCTTCCCCCAAATATTGCTTCCTTACCAATTTCGGGACTTTATTCAAATGTCAGTGAAACTCTCTGGTTGTTCATTCAGAATTTCGCGTCCTCTCCTCAACCCTTTATAGTCTCATTCTTTCCTTTATTTTCCTTCATGAGAAGCATGCTTGTCTCAATACCACAGTAAATACAGGCCTTGAACAACGTAAAGGTCCACTTACATGCAGAGTTTTTTCAATACAGTACAACACTGTAAATGTATTCTCTGTTACTATTTTTTATTTTTATTTATTTATTTTTATTTTCTTAGTAAGCTCTATGCCCAACTTAGGGCTCAAACTCATGACCCCAAGATCAAGAGTCACATGCTCTACCAACGAGCCAGCCAGGTGTCCCTCTTCTTTATGATTTTTCTTCATGACGTCTTTTCTCTAGCTTACTTTATTGTAAGAATACAGTATATAAACACTTAACATCCAAGCATATGTATATCAGTTATGTCATTGGCAAGGCTTCTAGTCAACAATAGGCTATTAGTAGTTAAGTTTTGGGGGAGTCACAAGTTATATGTGGATTTTCAACTGCATGCTCCCCCTAACCCCCAAGTTGTTCAAGGGTTGATAGTATTTATTGAAATAAGAATGTATGAAGCACACACGCAGTGTCCAGGCCTCTGCCTCAGGGAATTGACTTTCATATTGTGATAAAGCACTGAAAAATAAAATGAAACATCTGAGCCACGTAACTATGGCTAAATGTGTGTGTGTCTCCTCTTGGCAGAGTCAGGAAGGGCCTCTCCTAGCAGAGCAGTCAATATTTGATCTGACTCCTGAAGAAGGAAAAGAAGCCTTAGTCAGCTGAGTGGAGAGCTAGAAGAGGAGGAAGCCTGGCAGAGGGAACAGCACGTGCAAAGGCCCTGAGGTGGGAAAGAATTTGGCATATTGGAGGAACAGTATGAGTGAGCAAAGGGAGAGGGCAAAGGGGTGTTTAGAGAGGGAACTGAGGCCAGCTCTGCTAGACCTAGGGGTAACTTCTTTCAATTTCGTGTTGTGGGGGTGGTTTAAGGGCATCATCCAAATAAAGCCTTCCCACAACCCTCAGAGGTGGAAACTATCACTCTCCCTTATTTACAGAAGAGCCCAGAGAGAAAAAGTTGCTTGCTCAGGCCACACAGCTAATGAGTGCATAAACCAGGATCCAAATCCACACAACATACCAGCCTGGAGCCCTGGTGAAGACTGAAGGAGGCCCAAAGAGGGTACCACCCACTCCCCCAAATCTGACTCTGCCCTCCATGAGCCTCGCTGATATAAACTGAGCCTACGTGTTCAGATGGCCAGCGGCCCAGCACATATCATGTTGCCATGGCTGAAGCCACTTTAGCAATGACCTGTGGAGACCTGCAACCACCCCTTTGTCTAGTCCCAGGGGACCCTCATCAGAATCTGCCACTCACCATAGTAAAATCGGTCAGGTTCCTGAGGAACTGTGGGAAGGCAGGCAGGAAAAGAGAGAAAGGGAAAAAATATTTCAACACCGAATTTCTTAACATTTTTGAGGTTCCGGATGGGGCCATTGGCCTGATGGTTTCTGGGTAGAAATCAGATAAAGAAGCCCCTTAATCTAAATAATGATATAGCCTCATGGCAGGACACAAGGCTTGAAGAGTGGAGCAGAGACTGGATTCCAGCCCTAACTCACACCATTGGTCAGTACCTTCCCTTGTTCAGTGCACAACCTACCAAACTGTACATGACAGTCCTGGTCTTAGCCCACTGTGGAAGCCTGAGGCAAACTATGGACTCATTTCCTAAACAAAACAAAACAAATCCAAACTCCCATTTCCATATGTTATTGGGGTTAACAGACTCCAATCCCACTCGTAAAGTGCTGAGCGTATCAGCTTCTCCTGAATACTCCCTAAAACTTTTCAGTCAGCTGACAGCTCCAGAAGGCAGGCACTGTGGCTATTATTCTCATCCACTGCCTCCTAACACCAAATCCAATGCAGGGGAGCTGTCCTAGAATATACCCTATATTATATTAGCCATATTATATCCTTTGTTGTTCATTTCTAAGACATCATCAATTTTCAGATTCAAAATTGATTTCATAATAACTTTCTCGGTGTGTGTGTATATGCATGAATAAGTATGTAACTCTATCATAGGAAACATCCCCATCCATTAGAAGACTCGTTCCAATTTCAGAAATATCAATGCGTGGTTGAGATGTGTGTGTGTGTGTGTGTGTGTGTGCGCGCGTGTGTGTGTGGTCTATTTGCTTTTCCCCCTCCCCACCTCCCTGTCCCAAACCATACTGCCCTTCAGGAGAGCTCAGACCACCCTTGCATTCAAAAAGTCCATCCGGACGGCTCCCTACTTCCTCTGATACAGCTCTCAGAACATTCTGTCTGGTCTAGAGCAGAATTCTGCAAAGCATGCACCACTCGTGGAGGGGAACCAGGAATGTCAGGGCAATGCCGGGCACTGTCCTTAGTGTTCTTTCCTCCTCCAGGCTCAGGGAAGGATGGCAGTTGCCTTGAGGTTGGGGGGAGACCATCTGGCTAATTCTGGCCAATGAACCATCAGTCGAAGTGTCATTGTCTCTTGCAGGCTGGAGCATTAAGTGCTCCGGCAAGAGCTCTCTTTTGCCTTTGGCCCGGTGACATGAATGTTCAAGATGGTGGCCGTTCCTGTTTTCTTTGGTGAGTAGAGAGCCCCGGTGACCCCGTGATGGACATATAGTGTAATCACCAGAAATCCTGGTTGTCAGAAGCCACTGAGACTTTTGATACCATTTGCTACCGCAGCACACTCTAGCCTGATCTGACTGGTACAGAGGCACTTAGGCCAGACTGTAACTAGCATTGGTTCACTCAACGTGTAACTTCATCCTGCTCCGTTCCCTGTCCAGTCTTTAAGAAGAAGTCTTAGGTAGGTGCAGATGTGTCTTTAACACCATCCACCTCATTAATGTCCCTCTTTTCCCAAGAGAAAACAGTCCTTGGGCTCAAAGCCTTCAGCAGGCAACAACACCTAGGTAGAATTTTGTGACGTTATTTGGTTTTCTCCATTACTTGTTTAACCAGCATTTGATCGCACTGACTCCGGGCCAGGTCCTGGTCTAAGCACTTCACAGGTGTTAATGCACCTGATTTTCACAGCGGCTCTCTGATACAGGTGCTGTCTTCATCCTCATTCCACAAGGGACACCGAGGCCCAGAAAAGTGGAGTCACTTCTCTAAGATCATTTTTATACTTGCCTTGAAGGCAAAAATTTAAAAATCCTGATTTTCCATTTGTGATGGTGATATAAAATGAAGCCAATTACATTTTTTATTTATTTTTTTAAAAGGTTTTTATTTTTACAGAATCTCTACATCCAATGTGGGGCTCAAACTCACAACCCCAAGATCAAGAGTTGTGTGTTCTATTGACTGAGCCAACCGGGTGCCCTTAGTTGTTTTGTTTTTTTTTTCTTAAGCTAATCCTGGGGCGCCTGGGTGGCTCAGTCGATTAAGCATCTGACTTCGAATAGGTCATGATCTCACAGTTTGTGAGTTCGAGCCCGTGTAGGCTGGCTCTGTGCTGACAGCTCAGAGCCTGGAGCCTGCTTCCAATTCTGTCTTTTTCTCTGTCTACCCCTCCCCCACTCACCATCTCTCTTGCTCGCTCGCTCGCTCAAAACTAAATAAACATTAAAACATTTTTAAAAAGAACTTAATCCTGTAAAGGAAAAAGAATAAACATGAGTGTGGGGAGCATTTGGATTGGGCAAAAATCGTGAAGGTGGTCCTCGAAAGCATCAAGTTGGGGAAACATTATTTTAGAGGCATGTGTGCTTTCTTAGCTCCCCCACCAGATGGGGAGTAAATTGGTTTGACTCCTCTGCGGTTAATCCTGGCATTTATAAAAAGTCTTTCACAGAAGTTTTCTAAAATGAATAAACGCATGAGTGAGGGAGTGAATGAGCGGCTGAATGACGTGCGCCCCTGCTAGGCTACAGAAAGCTGCATCAGAGATGCCATGGTTGGACCAGCCTGCGTTGCCCCTCGGGTTTCCACACCACCTGCCTTCCCCAAGCCATCAGGAGCCCGCTGGGTGAGCACCTGCTCCAGAGTCCTCTCTGGCTCTACCCTGGGTGCTCCGTGCTCTATGCAGAAGGCCCTCTTCTGGTCCCTGCGGCCCCAGCCATCCGGTTCCTCGGGGCGAGGCCAGGCTAAGGGTGGAGCCACCAGGCAGGAGAAGAAATGTGCACCACTCCTGGCCAGTTGCCAGGGAGACATCAGGAAGGAGGTGGTTGCCATGACAACTGGAGCATCTTCAGAGGTGAAGAGAGGTAATGGGTCTGGGCACCCCAGGCTAGGTGGGGTCCTGGGGGTTAGGCTTCTAACTCTGGGGCCAATCTTGACTCCCTCTGCTCTCTCTGTACCTCCCGTTGTTGCCCCTGCAGGGCTGGCTTCTGGCCAAGGCCAGGGTTCTTCTCAAGGATAGGGACCCAGGCCCAGTCATGCTCCTGCGTCCCCTTTCTGTTTACCCCCAGCTCTTCCTCCTGCTTTCTGACAGCGTGGAAGAGCCCTCATCCCCGTCCATGGCGCCCCCCCTCCCCGCCACAATCCATTAATCAGCTTAATGGTGCAACACACAACATGCTCTTCCTCTGCCCCCCTCCCCGGGGTTTCCCAGGACCTGTGGTCCCCTCTTCTGCTGGGACTGGGGGAACGGGAGGGGTTGCTGAGGCGTCTGCCCTCCCACCTCTGCCCGTCTGCTGCCATCGATCCTGTTAACCACCATCTCTGCAAAAAGAAGCCCTGGGCTCCCGCCAGGCCTGCTGGCTCAGCCCTGCCCCCTCTCCCTAGGGTGGCTTCCAGCCTCTGCAGCCCCCCCCCCCCGCCCTGCTTCAAATTCTGCAGATATAGCTCAGTGCAGCAGCCCCTGCCTGCCGGGAAAGGGGGCAGGGAGGGAGAGATCGGAGTGGACCTGGGGTTCCCTTCACCACCAGGGGCTCCTCAGCACCACTGGCCTATCCCCTCTGGCCCTGCTCTCAGTGCTGGAAACCCTCCCCCTGCCGCCACCTCACCCCTCCCGCACAATTAAAGCATTCTTCCCTTTGCTCCTCTGCAGAGGCAGGCTCATGATAGGGGGCTGTTAGGGGGCAGTGAGTGTTTAAGTGGGTGCATAACTGGGTTAAGGGGTGTGAAATGTAATTGCTGTGTGGCTGGAGGGGGTGGGGAGGGACATCTGTGTGCACACTCGAGTGCACCTCCTGGACCAGACAACACCCCTGGAAGGAGGGTCCTGCCCCCCATCCTTGCCCAAGGGGGCTCACTGCAGTGGCTCGGCCCCACCCCATGCTGCTCCTCCTTATCCCCATTTCTCTCCCGCGCTGTGTGGGTCCATCTCTCCCTCTTCCTCTATGTCTCTCCCTCTGCCTCTCTGTCTCTTTGTCTCTAATTTTCTCTTTCCTCTGCGTCCCTTTCTGTTGCTCTCCGCCTTCCCCATCACTCTCTGAATATCTTTCAGTCTCATATCTGTTCTTCCCGGGTCTCTCTCTCTGTATCTCTGACTCTGGGTCTGCTGTCTCTTTTGCTCGCTCTCTCTCTCTCTCTCTCTCTCTCAGGCTCTCTCAATTTCCACCTTCCTTTCTGCCTCCTTGTCTCTTCTGTCTCTTTCCATCTCTCTCTCACTTCCTCCAGCTTTCTCCCCCACTGTCTTTCGGTCTTCTCCCTCCTTCCCGCTGAACCTGCCTGTCAGAGATTTCGGGGAGAGACCCACCATAGGAGCCAGGGCTGGAAAAAGAGGGATATGGACCCCTCCCTTTGCCCACCTTGGAGACCCTGAAATTGGCCAGAGCCTCTGTGGTCGCAGACCCACCGGGTCCCACCCTCGAAGCCCGGCTCTTCGCGGCCACCACCACCGACCGCTGTGCAGGACCAGCCGCCTGGTTGCCATAGCTACCGGTCCGCGCATCCTTTCTCCCGGGACTGCCGCTCTCCAGCCGCGGGTCCCGCACAGAAAGGACACCACCGGGAGGGGGTGTCCAAGAGGCCTGGAGGGGAACCAAGGGGTGCACTGCAGGGGCCTCCGCCCTTGCCAGGAACCGACATCCCCTTCCCCATTCCCCTCCCTTCTTAGTACTGGAATCTCCCTAGATCCTCTCTCCTAAGCTGTGAGATCCCGGAGCCTCCCCCACCCTCACCCGCGCTCCCTCTCCCCAGGCGACGCTCACCCTTTGTGGGGGCCTGGGTCGGGGTCGCCATGCCGGGCCGGAGCAGGGGGCGGCTGGATGCCGAGGTGGTGAAGGCGCGGCTGCAGCAGCTGGAAGCGGGACGGACTGATGTCGGGGGGAGATGGGGGAGCCCTCGTGTGGGGGGTGCCGTAGCCAATGGGGGCCCGGAGAGCCCGCCCCCGTCCTGGCCACCCCCGCCCCCGCCCCCGCCCACTGCCGACGTCCCCGCCCCTTCCCCAAGGGTGGCGGCGCCCCCTGCCGGGGCCCAGGGACCGCCCGGGATTTCGCGCAGAAGGACTGACAGATCCATAAAGCGCTGTCAAGAGAGAAAAGCATGTTTTATTGAAGTCTGGGCGGCAGAGAGGAGTCTGTGGGGGCAGGGCTGGCGAAGAGGGCAGTCCAGGTGCCGGCGGGTGCTCAGGTGGTGGGCGGGAGGCGTCAGGTGCCCGGGGAATCCTGTGGGGGTGAAAAGGATGAGAGGCCACAGAGCCCCCCACCCCCCAGCCATGCCATCCCACTCTCGTCCCCTTCTCCGCTCCCATCCCCCGGCCTAGCCCGAGCTGCAGGACCTGGCTGGCTTCCGTCGCACCAGGTGTCTCTACCGCCTGCGGGTGGACAGACCTGCGGGGGAACACGGAGAGTTCGGGCTTCAGGAGCGGCACCCGGCTCCTGCCGAGGGGGGAGCGGCAGGAGAGCTGCCGGACCTTCGCTGTCAGATCAAGCCCCTCCCTCCCCACGCCCAGAGAGGGTCCGGAAAGGGCTTCTTGGAACCAGCCCTCACCCCCAAACACCCGAAGTCTCCCCAGACTCACGGCGGATGGAGCTGCGGAAAGTTCCCTCCTCTTCATCAGGCTCCCCAGTCCTGGGAAAGGAGAGGGCAGAAGGAAGTGGGGATGAAAAAGGAAAGAGGCAGAGGCTCCCACGAATTCCCCAGGACAGTCCTCATTTCACAGACCCCTGGACTGAGGGCCAGAGATGGGCGAGCAGCGGGCTCGGGGTCCGCCAGGAACCGGAAAAACGGGCGCACCCAGGAGCAGTTTAAGCGTGTGGCAGGACTCGCTCCAAGTGCCTCCCGGAGTGCTGGGGGGAGAGCCTGAGAGTTGGTGGGGGAGGGATGGCCGAAGGGCTTGAGGACAGACGGCCTGGAGACGCCTCGGCCTGGGGACCACCTCGGTCAGAAACCCCAGAACCCTCATCTTCCAGTTGAGTGATCTCGGGCAAGTCAACTTCACCTCCCTGTGCCTCGGCTTCCTCCACAGTAAAATGAGCACCTAGCTCATACAAGGGGAGTAAATAAGAGAATGCACGATAAAACAATATCTGGCACGTGGGACTAAACACTAGCTAGTCTTTAAAATAACAGTTATAATTGCTTTAACACGGAGAAGGTATTCGTGCATTGCTTTAAAATTTTATTTAAAGATGAATCAAAGAGCTGGGAACAGGACTCTGAGCTAAACTGGGCCGCCAAGTGCGGTGATCTCATTTCGCCACGGCTCTTTCTTTCACAGCACTTATCACGCTTTGTGATTTTATATTTGTGGGGCTGTTGGAACCCACGGCCGCCGCCCCCACTGGGCTGGGAGCTCAGCCAGGCAGGGAGGGCAGTTTATTTATTCACCATTTGGTCCTCAGGGCCTGGCTTGCGGCTTGGCACGTAGTAGGTGCTTAGTCCACATTTGCCAAAGGATCTCTGGCTGGGAGTCGAGGGGACGCCCCGCCTCACTCCCAGCGCCCCTCCAGAGCGGAAGGAGGGGAGTGAGAGCCCGGAGGGGCCTCTTACCTCTGCTGCTGGTTGAATTTGCACCGGCATCTTCGGCCTGTGGGTGGGGGTGGGAGGACGGGGCTGAGATTCCGCTCCAGGCGGGCACCCAGTGGCGCTGCTGCGCCCGCTCAGGCTCGCGAGGGGCGGAGCTGAGGGGGCTGGAGGCGGGGCGGGGGCAGGGCGGGGGCGGGCAGAGGCGTCCACCGGGCGGGCTCAGGCAGGATGGGGGCGGGGCAGAGGACGGGGCGGGGCAGAGGGCGGGGCGGGGGCGGGCAGAGGCGTCCACCGGGCGGGCTCCCGCAGGATGGGGGAGGGGGCAGAGGGCGGGGCAGAGGGCGGGGCAGAGGGCGGGGCGGGGGCGGGCAGGGGCGGGCAGGGGCGTCCACCGGGCGGGCTCCCGCAGGATGGGCGCGGGGCAGAGGGAGGGGCGGGGGCGGGGCGGGGCGGGGCCGAAACCCCGAACCTGCGGGGCGGGGCGGGATCCGGCGGGATGGGGGCGGGGCAGAGGGCGAGGCGGGGCGGGCTCCGGCGGGATGGGGGCGGGACAGAGGGGGGGCGGGGGCGGGCTCCGGCGGGATGGGGGCGGGGCAGAGGGCGGGGCGGGGCGGGCTCCGGCGGGATGGGGGCGGGACAGAGGGGGCGGGGGCGGGCTCCGGCGGGATGGGGGCGTGGCAGAGGGGGGGCGGGGCGGGCTCCGGCGGGATGGGGGCGGGGCAGAGGGCGGGGCGGGGCGGGCTCCGGCGGGATGGGGCGGGGCAGAGGGCGGGGCGGGGCCGAAACCCCGCACCTGCGGGCGGGCGGGCGGGGTGGAGGTAGCAGGGTGGGGGTACTACTCACTCAGGACGATGAGGATACCGAGGATGAAGAGGATCCCGGCGATGATGAGGCCTCCGATCCGCAGGGTTTTGTAGTCTGTGGGCGGCAGGGAGGAGAGTGAGAACAGGGAGGGGAGGAGGGAGGGGAGGAGGGAGGGGAGGAGAGGGGCCGAATGGGGAGAAGAGGGCAAGGAGGGTCAGGGAGGAGAGAGAGATCAACGAGAGGAGGCAACCGCTGTGGGAGGAAGGGGAGAGGGGTCAGGGAGGGGAGAAGGCGGGAAGGGAAAGGAAGAGGTAGGCAGGGCAGGGAGGAGGGAGGAAAACAGAAAGTAGGGGAGGATGGTGGAGAGGATGAGGGGAACAGAGGGGAGAAAGGGAGAAGGCAAAACAGAGGATGAGCCATAAGATATGAGAGGTAAAAGGAGAAGGAGAATCAGAGAGACAGGGAGAAATCGAATAGACACACGGAGACACAGACAACGGGAGATGAAAACAAGGAGTCAGAGATCTCTGAGAGACAAGAGAAAGAGAAAAGGAGAGTGAGAGATATAAACACTGAGTCAGAGAGAGAGCGAGAAGAGGAGTGAGGTCAGCACGGGCAACCCCAGGCCACCCACCCTCCCAACTCCCAAGCGTAGATGCCCCTCCCTCCCTCACCATAGGTGAATGGGTCGTGTTCCTGCGGAGCCTCTGGAAAGAGAAAGAAGTCAGGGGTCGGATGCTTCCTGGGACTCCGGACTGGCAGGGGAGTAGAGACCTTTTGGGGGCTTTCCTGTCCTGGGCTGAGAGCCTGGGGTCTTTTGGACCCTGAGCAGGCTGTCCACCCTCTCTGGATCTTAGCTGCCTCATCTTCACCGTCCTGGGGCGGGGGAGGCACGTAACTGCTACACCTTCCCGTCTGGTCCCGTGTTGTCTGTGATTCTGTCCTTTGAGGGGAGTGGGCCTCCGTCCCACCCTCAACCTTTGTCTGGCCTGGGCATCCTCCCCTCCACTCCCCCATGTGAAACCCCCGATTTCCTGGTACCCCAAGTGACTCTGTGTAAGTTGGAGTCTCCAACTTGGTTCTCTTGAAGGGCTCCCCTCCCCCTCCCTCGGGGCTGAGGTGGGTAGTGGGCTACCTCCCCCAGACTCACCTGCACTGGCCATGGTGAGGAAACCCACACAGAGAACCAGGATGTGGTGGAGAGATGCCATTGTCCTGGGGGACACCGAGGATCAAGAAACGTGTTCCCAGTACCCCCACCATTGGGGCTTGAGCCCAAGGGGTTAAATCAGACTCCAGGGTTTTAATTCCAAAAATGTCCCTTATCCACCTTGGCTGCCTTGGGAAACAGGGGCACCCCCTGCTTCATGCGGACACAGTGTCACCAAAACAAGCCACAGTGGGGGGCACAGGACACGTAGCAAGGGCAGAGGTGAGACACACACAGTTACAGGGGTCCCCCTCGCAGGCCGGGGCTCCCCTACAGCAGCCTCCAGATTCCCCACACCTACCCAATGGGAAGACCAGGGTGGCTCGCCCCACCCAGACGGAGAGACAGATGCACAGCAAGGGGTGAGGGACAAGGCGGCCAGGACACACCCAAGGGCCCCCCTGCCCACACACCACGGCCTGGCTGCGTCCGAGCGATATCCCGGCTCTCCTGCCCTCAGCCGCTGGCCCGCTGGCTGCCTGACCCTGGGTATAAATATCTCCCACTTCACCCTGGAGGAATTTGCCTCACACAGGCCACCATGGCAACAGCCTTCCTTCCCCCACTCGGGGGTCACGCACAACCCCGCCGGGGTGAGGCCAGGCTGCCACACGGCCACAGGCTGCCCCTGTGGGGGGAGGCCACCCCTTGTCCCCTTCTGGAAATGATGAGAACAAGGGGGAAACTTCCCGTCCGCCTGTCTCCGGGTGACATCTTTCACAGGCGGACGACACCAGGCGGGTGGCATGAGGCCCAGACCGGCGGGGCTGAGAGACAGAAGACAGATGCCAGGGGCAGGAACACACACACACAGACACACGCACACACGGTGACAACGCCCACTCCCCAAACCTCTGGTTGGAAGGCGATGTGGGGTGGAGACACAGTCACGAACACACACTCCTCGTCTGAGCCTCCGGTGCCCCCAAACAGTGACGCAATCTGACCCACACACGTGAGTGTCCCAAACCCGCCCCGGCCAGGGTGCAGGCTCAGCGGCAGGGGAGGGAGGGGTTGTGCCCCGCACTCCCGCTCCCGGGGAACCCCACCGGCCCCACCACGCTCCCTTCCTCTTGGGTCTGGCCTGCCTGGGAAGCCTGGGGCTTGGCCACTCCTGCTCCCAAAATAGGTGTCCCAGCCAGGCGAGGGGTGAGGCCCGGAGGGGAGGGCAGGGGACGCTCACCCCAGTCAGGCTGTCCCCTGCTGAAAGAAGGCCCCCAAACGGCCGGCTGTGCCGGGGGTGAGCACTTTGGACCCCCTGGCCCAGAGCTGGACTGCGCCGCCCTCAGCGGTCTCCCCTCCCGGCCCCACCCCACCCTCACCCTCCCCAACCAGCAGCTGTAACTGGAGCCCGGGCTGGAGGGGGGCCAGGGGGCGGCCCCCAGCCCAGACCGCCCTGGCCCGCTGGGTTAACTCTCTCGGCTCAGATGGAGGGACAGTAGGCAGCCAGCGCTGGGGACAGCTGGGGAGAGGAGGTGTTGGCAGGGAGGCCTGGACCGCAGACACACACATGCACGCTCGCACGCTTACCCCGCGGGCCACGGAGAGCTTCTGCCTGCGGTGGGGAGTGTCCATGATTTTTGGTGAGGTTCCCTGGGAACTGGGCCCAGTAGGGGCCTAAGGCCACCTGAGCCCTTAGGAGCCCGCTGACCCCTGACCCTAGAGCTCCGCGGAGACCTGGTCGGCACCACAGGGCTGTTTTGGGAGCATTTCAGTGTGTGTGTGTGTTTTCTGTTGTTGACTGTGAGGTTCCCGGGAGTGCATACTACACACACACACACACACACACACACACACACACTTGTTCAGATGGATGCCTGTACAGAGACACAAAGCCATAGTCACACAAGTGTCCACCTTTACAAATGGTCACAAAGATATGACTCAGGAAGACATAGGCACAAGTGGCCATACAAAGACACAGCAACACACACCGTGCACGTGAGCACATTCAAGGCACAGACACACAGCCCGCCTTCGCACACAATTTCAGAGATGTGGAGGCCCCAAGCTGTATACATTTGTACACACATACCTGCACACGCTGCTGTGGGGAGAGAGAGAGCAGAAATTGTCCAGGACACAGCCATACGACCAGCCATTCTCATACATAACCATACACACACACACACACACACACACACACACACACACACACAAATGCATAGACAAACAGGACATAGCTGGCCGCTCAGGCACGGACAGGCATGCCTACACACTTGTGTTTGCACACTTGGAGACACCACCGCATGTGTGCCGCTGTGCCGAACCCCCCTTCCTGACCTCATGTGACCTGTAGGACTCCCCAGAGAACAACACGCATGGTGTCCTCATGGGCGGGCCAGCTTCATAGGCGCTGGCGACAGAGAAACCGGGGATCAGCTCCGGGCTCTGCCGTTCCTGGTTGTGTGACCTCGAGCAGCCCGCGTGACCTCTCTGTGCCTCAGTTTTCTGTCCTACACAGTGGAGAAATCACCAAGGTCATATGTATCACACCGGGCCAGGCTCAGAGCTCCCTGACCCAACACTGTCTTACTATTAACTCCATTTTAGAGATGAGCAACCCGAGGCTTATCGAGGTGGAGCTGATTCTCCTGAGATCCCTGGTGGTTAAGGACAGAAACTGCCCCCAGCACGAAGGAGGTAGACACGGGCTCAGACTCTGTAGGAAACAGAGTCAGGAGCAGGTGGACACGCTCATACTCAGGGACAGACAGAGCCCACCTCAGGGGACCCAGGGAGCTTTGCGACGCACCCTCGTCCCTGTGTGTCTGAGCCTCGGCCTCTCGTGGCCTTGCACCCTGGGGTCACCAGCAGTCTCTGGTTAATGATAACCCTGATGTTTATGCAGCCCTGACAGAGGGAAGGCTGATAGGGGATCAGAGAAGTGAAGCAGGGCTGGGGGCACCTGGCCATCTCTGGCCAGTCCTTGGCTTCTCCCCTTCACAAGGCCAGCTTCTCCCGAGCAGAGCAGCTCAGCCACTTTCTAGCTGCATGATGCTGGGCACATGACTTAACCTCTCTGAGGCTCAGTATCTCCTTCTGTAAAATGGGAATAAAGGTGTAGTCACCTCAGAGGGAAGTTAGGATGATTATCTGAAATGATCCGTGGAAAACATTTAGAACAGAGCCCAGCAAACAGTAAGTCACACACACACACACACACACACACACACACACACACGTGTTAGCTACCATCACTGTCGCCATTGTCATTCTCCTTGTAAACCACAGTGAGACCCTGTTGGCTAGGTACTCTCTGAGTATGGATTTAGGCCTGTGTCCCCTCTGTGTCCCTGGCACTAAGCTCTTTATCTTTTCAAAGACCCCGTAAAGAAGTTTATCATCCCCCCTGTACAGCTGAGGTAACTGAGACCTGGAGGGCCTTGCTCAAACCACAGAGCCGGTTGGGTCCAGAACAAACACTTGGGTCCAGAGTCCACCCCCAGGCCTGCCGACCACGGCGGAGCATCCACCCTGTGCTGACCCACAAGCAGGGGCCACTGTCTTCTTCATCTCATGGAGTGCTCTGTACACCTGGGAAGTGGATGCCACCGACTGCCCCACTCGACAGATGGGAAAGCTGAGGATCAGGGACGTGAAATGACTTGTCTGAGCCCATGCAGAACTGAGCCCGTGGTCCTTCCTGAGCTGGTGCTGGTGAGTCCCTGTCCTCCACATCTTCCGGGCATGTGCAGCCATAGCCAGAGATGCTGGAGGGTGGTGGTGGTGGGAACAAAGGTTAGGTTTAGATCTGTCCAGTGCCATGAAGCAAATCACTTAATCACTTCCTGCCTCAGTTTTCCCATCTGCAAAGTGGGGATCCCACCTCACTGGGATGTGGTGAGAACTGAGTAAACTCATGTTAAGTCAGGCATACAGTAAGTGCTCAATACCTATTGTTACTACCATTGCAGGTTGGGGACCAAGTGTCATTTATTTATGTATTTTTCTTATTTACTGCTCAAAGCGGAGTCCAAATGAAAACAACCAGTGTGCATGAGTTCTGGCCTCCCAAGAAAGAGCACAGAATCACGAGGACACACCTTGGAGCCAGCTACAGGGCTTGGGTGCTGGCTCAGCCCCAGTCAGCAACCCAAATCTCAAATTACGTGAGCTCTCTCCTCAGTGTTTGTGCCTGTAAAATAGCTCTATCAAAGGGTCAGCCTTCGAGGGTTGTGGTGAGGTCAGCATGAGCTAATAAACTTTGAGGACAGGGCCTAGTGCAGAGCCAACGCCGAGGAAGGGGATTGGCATCATCACCATCGTTGTCTGCTTGCATTGGTTCCTTACCCACAGTGGGTGGTGGGCACTCAAGGGGTTAATTTCAGGCTGGTGAGGAGGCTGTGGTTTCGGGGCAGGGCAGCTGCCCTTCCCTGTTTGGCCACCAGAGGGAGCAGCTGGACCCTTCCAAGCCTCCGTGACCCTGCGCATCAGCATCACACCCTCCCAGAGCCAGGGGAGGGGGCTGGCTGGGAGGGGCCAGGATGGCTCCGGCCCCCAGTTGTCTCTCTTCCCACCCCCTCCGCCTGCAGAGCCATCCGGTCCCCACCCGGGTGACATCCTCCTTACACTCCCTGAGTGGGGTGGAGTGGGAAACCTGGGGAGGGGGCTGGCTGAGAGTGGTCAGCTCCGGCCCCTTGTGGCCCCTCCCCTCCCATGGGGCCATCCAGTCCCTTCCTTAGGGCTGCTCTTCCTATGGCCTCTGACCCCCTCCTCCTTCTTATGCTGCTTTGCTGGAGGCACCCGGTGCCCAGCAAGTCCCTTTCCCAAACCTCCAAGGAGAAGGGGCGTGGGAGGAGGGGAAGAACAGGGAACTGGAAAGGGGGGTGAGAAATAAAGATACCAGACAGAGAGAGACACACACAGGCCAACAGGCAGAGACTGAGAGAGAGAAACAGAGATAGAGAGACAGACGGAAATAAAGACAGAGAGTGGAAAACTGACTAACTCACTGAGTCAGAAATACAAAAAGAGACAGAGGCAGAAAGGCAGGGAAAAAGAAGTAAACAGAAAATTGGACACCAAAGGGACAGGGGAAGAAAACAGGCTGAAAGAGAGACTGAGAAAGGAGAGAGAAGCCAGGACGGGGAGTGCCAGCTGGAGGAATGGAGGGTCGCCTGGCATGGGAGATGTAGTGGCCCTGGCCCACCGGTGCCGCGGCGGGGGGGCCGAGGGGGATGGGAGGGGCAGGCGTTGTGCTGCTGCTGCTGCTGCTGGCCGGGCCGGGCGCGGGGGGGGCCTGGAGACCACCAAAGGGAAAGTGTCCTCCGAGTTGCTCCTGCTCCAAGGACAGTGCCCTGTGTGAGGGCTCTCCGGACCTGCCTGAGAGCTTCCCCCTGACCCTGCTGTCACTGTGAGTGTCACGTGAGGGTGAGGATGGGCATCCCGGGACCCCAGGGCTCGGGGGCAGGGTGCCGGGCCCTTCAGGACCTTGGGAGGTGGGCAGCAAAGGATGTTGGGATGCCTCACGGGGGCTCCTGGGATTTGGACAGGAGCGGAAGGGCAATTCCGAAGCACAGGGGCAGCCCCAGCAGGGGGACAGCCAGGGGGTGGACTGCGTGTTGCCAGGATCCTTGCCAAGGGAGGGGCAGAAGCCTGCGTCCCCGGGGTGTAAAGGAACGCCAGCCAGGGTTGGGGCGGCACGCCCGTGTTCCCCGGCAGGAGACGGCCCTGGGGCGGGACTGGAGCACTGGGGCGGTTTGCTCCTCACCCACCACTGCCCACGTCCCCAGCTCACTCGTTAGGACTGGAGTCACCCAGCTGAAGGCCGGCAGCTTCCTGAGGGTGCCCACACTGCACCTGCTGTGAGTGGGGCCCAGCCGAGTCGACAACTAGCTTGAGGGAGTGGGTGGGTGTTCACACAGGTGCGTGGGGGGGTGTGCACACAGGTGTGTATGTGCATGTCTGTGAAAGCAGTGCACGCGTGTGCATGTGTGTGTGTGTGTGTGTGTGAGAGACAGTGCCCACCTGGGTTGAGGGTGGGGGCCGACATTAAAATGTCAGGGAGGAGCAGCAACTCTGGAAAAATTTCTTTCTCGCTCCCTTGCCAGCCTCTTCTCAGCCAACTCCTTCTCTGTGATTGAGGACGATGCATTTGCGGGCCTGTCCCACCTGCAGTATCTGTGAGTGAGGCCGGGCGATGGGGGCAGGGAGGGGGGCTTGGCGGACGTGCGTCTGAGTGTGGAGGGCAGTTTAGAGGCTTATTGGCACAGGAGGGAGGGTCTGGACAAGGGTCCTTCCTGGAGGAGCAAGAGGCCTGGTGTCTTGGCAGGAAGCCTGCTCGGCTGTGTCATTTCAGCCTGCTCACCTCCCCTCTCTGTGCTTCAAGGTCCACAAAGGGCCTGGAGAACCCAAGACCGTTTCTGGCCCCACCTGACTTGTGGGAGCCCAGGGGCAGGACAAAGAGGCCAGAGGCAAGGAAATGTTTTAAACCGACAGGAACCACTCCGCGCGGTGATGGTGGTGATGTGGTGACGGCGGCGGTGGTGGCCGTGATGACAGTATGACAGCGCTGGCCCTGCGCTGGTGTTGGCGATGACGGTGTGGAAGGCGGCCCTGTTGCCGCCGCTCATGGGGATCGATCATGAGGATGACGGGGTGGGGATGGCGCTGGCAAAAGTGGCGGACCCAACGGTGATCGTGCTGGTGGTGATGCCGATGGTGAAGTTTGAGGGGCTGATGTCAGTGGTGTCGTGTTGTGGGTGTTGGTAGTTACAGCACTGGGCGGCGGCCATGGGCAGGACGTTGGTGTCGGTGTGAGGGCGGCCTTGCCGGTACTGGGCTTGGGGGGGGGGGCGGTAGTGGTGCTCGGTGGTGGGTAGAGAAGGGGGTGCTGCGCATAACGGGGATGTTGGTGTCGGCAGTGCAGGCACTTGTGCTTTTGGAAGTGGTTCCAGGGCTGGTGATGACGGGGGCCGTCATTTTGGTGTTGTCGTGTGAAGGCTGTGTTGTCGGTGATGCTTATCCGTATTAGTGATGGGGTTGGTGGCCGTGGGTGGTGATGGTGGCGGCACAGTATGCTGGTGATGGTCTTGGCACTTACTGGCACTGAGGCTGGTGATGGCGAAGAGCACGGGTGTCAGTCATAATGGATGATGGTGCTGGTGCCCTGGTGGCCGTGGTGGTGACATGGTGGCAGTGTTCACTGTCAGGCTGGCAGAGAGCGCAGGGTTATGTTCCTGGCTCCTCGGACTGTAGGCTGGGACCTTAGGGAGGAGAGGTTTCTGGGGAGGCTCAGCACATTCCAGTGGCCTGTGGCTTCCGTGGGGTGAGTCCCCCAAGCGCTACGGGGCCACATCAGGGAACCGAGGGCCTCCCGCTCAGCACACCTTCCCTCCACAGCTTCATCGAGGACAATGAGATTGGCTCCATCTCTAAGAACGCTCTCAGAGGACTTCGCTCACTCACACACCTGTGCGTGCCCCCGAGGCCTCGCCCCTCTGCCTCCCCAGCCCGCCCTGACGGCCCCCAGACCCCGTCACCCGGGAACACGGGGCATCCAGGTCGCAGGTGACGGTTCCTCCTCCTCTCCTTCCACCAGGAGCCTGGCCAATAATAATCTCGAGACCCTCCCCAGATTCCTGTTCCGAGGCCTGGAGACCCTAACTCATGTGTGAGGCTCGAGGGGGCTGGGCGGGGCGGGGGGGGGGAGTGGGGAATGTCTGAGAGGGAAGGGGGCTGCTTGCTGTGTGCCCACTTTCGGCTGACATAACTGAGTACAGCCGCAAGGGTCCTTACGTATTTCCTGAGCCACCTCTGGGGCCCCACCCTGAACGCTTGCCGGGGGAGGGGGCAGGGAGTGTGGCCTGGAGGGGCTGGAAGCCAGGTCGCAGCCCCTCCCCGGCCTCTTGCCCCAGGGACCTCCGCGGGAACCCGATCCAGTGTGACTGCCGCGTCCTCTGGCTGCTGCAGTGGATGCCCACCGTGAACGCCAGCGTGGGCACCGGGGCCTGCGCCGGCCCCACTGCTCTGGCCCACGTGCAGCTCCGCCACCTCGACCCCAAGACGTTCAAGTGCAGAGCCATAGGTGGGGGCTTTCCGGGCAAGGCGGGAGGGGCAGCAGGGGTCCAGAAGAAGGCGGGGGGCCGGGGGGGTGGCTGCCAGGGCTGACGGGCTCACCTCACTCCCTGCTCTGCCATTTCCCAGCTTGTGAGACCCTGAGCAAGCAGCATCACCTCCCTGAGCCTCAGTTTCCTCATCTGTAAAATGGAGGTAATAAACAGTGACCTAGGATTGCAGTGAGCATTCAGTGATGCACCTGGGGCAGAACCTCGGATGGGAGCCCCTCCTGAATGTTCGCTCTGCTCGGTGTTACTAATATAAAAATGACCTTTTAAAAATACCTGCTATGATCATTCTGCTTTTCCATAAATATATTTTGGTACCCTTACGGGTCCCGGGCACTGCAGGAGACTCGGCAGCTATGAGGATGGCCCTGGCTCCAGCCCTCCCAGCGCCCACAGCGCAGAGGAAGGTGGAGAGTGAGAGAGGGGTCAGGGCTGGCATGGGGGAAGCCAACAGAGCTGCAGGTGCCCAGAGCCAGAGCGACGGCCAGGGAGGGCTTCCTGGAGCAGCGTGCGTTTGAGTTCAGATCCGAAGGCTATAGATATAATAATCGATTATTACCATCATCTAAGTGTGAGACATGTTTTTGGTCTGTGGGACCCACCGAACTGGAGAATTTAACTTAAGCTACCCCTCAAAGATTCACTAGGCACTCTGTGTCCAGCCCTGGGAGAGGCGATGGGCAGTGTGGTAGCCAAGATAGGGCCTCACCTTCAGAACCCTGGCAGGTGAGGACGCGGGCATTAAATAAAGCATTGCAGAAACAAATGTATGCTACACATTGTGATAAACACAGGGAGTGGTGAGGGAGATTCAGTGGGGGGGGGCCGTCCTCCCCTCCATGGGGCACTGATTGGAGAAGGCTTCTCTGAAGAGGTGGCTTTAGATCCAGAAGAGCACTCTAGAGAGAGAGGACAGCATGTGCAATGGCCCTGAGGCAGCAGAGCGTTTGTCCTGCTTGAGGGTCACCGGCAGGCAGTGTCCTGGGGAGCGAGTGCAGGAAAGGACACAGGTGACATTGAAGGCTGCAGAAGCCTCACTGGGTACGGCTCTGAAAGCCACAGAGAGCAGAGTGGACTTTACGCGGACGGCTGTGGGAAGCCGTGGAGGGCTCTGAACAGGGGGTGAGGATAGGATGGACATTTTTAAGAGATCCCCCTTGGGGTGGGCATCCTTGGTGGTTTGGCTCATTGCTTCAACCCTGGTACCTGGAGACAGGACCTGGCACAGAGAGTGAAGTATTAAAACCAGGAGTCTACCACCCGGCAAGTCCACCACTGCGCTGGGCGACCTTGGTGCATCATGACCATAAAAGCTAAGTTGCTTACCATGAACAAGAAAAGAGAGGAGGGACTGAGGTGAGCAGGCCAGGTGGGTGGGGACAGCCCCTGGGTGTCGTCCTGGCTTCCATGATTGAAATCGAGTCATGGCACATCCACGTGCCGGGTCACGGGGAGAAGGGGAAAGAGACTGAGTCCGGGGATGAACTGCTGCCGCACAAGTGAGATGAGCGTCACCCCCATGGCTCTTTCCCTCCGAAACCTGGCTTGGACATGGCCACGCCTCAGCTCAGGAGGGGGGGTGTTGGGGAGGGCTGGGGTGATGCGGCCCCTGCCTGGGCAGCTTTGTGCTCTAGCCCTATTTCGGGGAAGACGGTGAGGATGGATTGTGCTGCCAATCCTGTGCCTGCCTCTCAGCCTGAGTTTCCTCATCTGTGAAATATAGTGAAATAATGAAATGTATAATGAAATGTCCCTCATAGGGATCTCGTGGAGTTAAATGAATTCATAAACATGCTGTTTCTAAGCAGTTATTTGATGACGCCATGCAGCTTAGAAAATAAGGTCTCACCTTGTTGCGTGACTTAATTCGTCCACAGATAAAAAGATTCCACTCGATGTCCCTATGAGGTGCCCCCTGTGACGGTCCTCATTTCAGAGATGTGCAAACCGAGGCTCAGCGAAGAGGGCCGTTGGGGTCCCCCGCGCCTGCCTGACTCTCTCTTGCCACCCCCCAGAGCTGTCCTGGTTTCAGACGGTTGGGGAGTCAGCGCTGGGCGTCGAGTCTTTCACCTACCAGGGGGAGCCCCACATGGTCCTGGCACAGCCCTTTGCAGGCCGCTGTCTGATCCTCACCTGGGACTACAGCCTGCAGCGTTTCCGACCCGAAGAAGAGCTGTCCGGTGAGCCCCCCTCCCAGCCTCCTGCCCGGCCCCGTAGCCCCCCCCCCCTCCCCGCCCAGGCGGCCCCGACCCGCCTGGCTGGCCTGACCTGGCCTGCTGCTCCCTGACTACCTCCCCTCAACCCCCCCCGCCCCCCCACAGCGCCCTCGGTGGTGTCCTGCAAGCCACTGGTGCTGGGCCCCCGCCTCTTCGTGCTGGCCGCCCGCCTGTGGGGGGGCTCGCAGCTGTGGGCCCGGCCCAGCCCCGGCCTGCGCCTGGCCCCCACGCAGGCCCTGGCCCCGCGACGGCTGCTGCGGCCCAATGACGCCGAGCTCCTGTGGCTGGACGGGCAGCCCTGCTTCGTGGTGGCCGACGCCTCCAAGGCGGGCAGCACCACACTGCTGTGCCGGGACGGGCCCGGCTTCTACCCTCGCCAGAGCCTGCACGCCTGGCACCGGGACACGGATGCCGAGGCCCTGGAGCTCGATGGCCGGCCCCATCTGCTGCTGGCCTCCGCCTCACAGCGGCCCGTGCTCTTCCACTGGCTCGGAGGCCGCTTCGAGCGGCGCACGGACATCCCCGAGGCCGAGGACGTCTATGCCACACGCCACTTCCAAGCTGGTGGGGATGTGTTCCTGTGCCTCACCCGCTACATCGGGGACTCCATGGTGAGGCTGGGCCCCGACACAAGCCGGACCTGACCTGCGGCCCCCTCAGGGCTGGGTTTTCGGCGCTGACCCCACCTTGCACGCTGATCCCTTAACTCTGAATGACCTCCCAGGCTGACCTTTGAACTCCGACCCCACCTAGCGTGCTGATCTTTGAACTCTGGCCACCCTGATGCTGACCCCAAGTCGGTGACTCCTCAGGCTGGCTGACCATAAACCACTTCCTATCCCCCAACACTGACACTGGCCCCACGATTCTGATTCTACCCCCAAACTCTGGCTCTGTACCTCGGACACACTCTAAGACTTCCACTTGACCACAGCCACCACACTCTGAATCCCCAGGGCTGACGGCGCACCCCCTCTAGCCTTCTCATTCTGGGGGTGAGGTATGGCCAGGCGGAGCACTCTGAGCCTGGAAGGCACTGATCTGACTCAGGTGTTCACGGGACATACGTGGGGAGCAGATGTGGGTGCAGGGATGGGGGTGGGGAGACCAGGGACTGCTGTCATGGTCCAGGAGGGAGGGGACTGTGGCTGGGCCGGAGCGCGGCCAGAGGAGACGGGAGAAACACAGCATCGCAGGTGAAGCTGACCGACTCTAGGTGGGGTGTGAGGGAGAGACAGGGGCCAAGAATGACTCCAAGTCTGTGGCCTGAGCAGCTGGGTGGTGACATGTATGAGGGTAAGAAAGCTGCAGGAGTTTGGAGACCTACAGGCTTGTCTCCAAGCTGTCCCAAGCGCTCTTGCAGCACAGAGCGCTGCCTGCAGGCCGGGCCCTCCTGGACCCCAGGCCCTAACTTGGGGCCACACTTCACAGGTCATGCGCTGGGACGGCTCCATGTTCCGCCTGCTGCAGCAACTGCCCTCGCGGGGTGCCCACGTCTTTCAGCCACTGCTCATCGCCAGGGACCAGCTGGCTATCTTGGGCAGCGACTTCGCCTTCAGTCGGGTCTTCCGTCTTGAGCCTGACAAAGGGCTCCTGGAGCCGCTGCAGGAGCTGGGGCCCCCAGCCCTGGTGGCCCCTCGCGCCTTCGCCCACGTCACCATGGCGGGCAGACGCTTCCTCTTCGCAGCTTGCTTCAAGGGCCCCACGCAGATCTACCAGCATCACGAGTTAGACCTCAGCGCCTGAAACGCGAGGAGACCTTGGGACCTTGCACATGGCTTGGAGCAGAGGGGGCACAGGGAGTCCCAGGCCCCCGGACACCCACTTGAATGGCCTCTCCTGGCCCTACCCAGGGTGACGTTATCTGTGAGGTACTGACCACAGGCCGAGTTCAAGATAAGCGCCTTGAACCCCCCGTCTTAAGCAACATCTTGGCTGGCGGCACACGCTCTGACTAAGGATGACTTGGGGGCTCGGGCTGGGGCACTGCAAGGGGCCGGGACACCGAGGTCATGGTGGGGGTACTGTGCAGAACTCCATGAGGTCTGGAAGCGGCCCCCTCAAGCCCACTCCCACCCCTCCTGCTCCCAGGGAAAGTACAGGGAGGAGACAGCTTTCCTCTCCCTCTAAACTCAATCTGGCCAATCGCTTTTAGTGCCCGCCTCCGTGACGTCATCAGTCGCTGGGCCGGTTTCCCCGGCCTGGCTTGCTAACTTCCTCTGCTGCTTGTGTGCATGCCTACTGCCAAGGCGGAAGCCCAGCATGTTGGCCCTCTGGCGAGTGCGTGGGAAATAGGTGGGAAAGTAGGAGCTGTTGGGGGTTCCCGGGCTCCCCTGTCTCTGGAGAGGACGGAAAGTGTATGAGCTCAATAAACGCGCTGTGCACCCGCCCCACTCATTGTGGGCTCTTTGGGAGAAGGGGTCTCCTGAGTGACATGGGGGCAGAGCGAGGAGGAGTTGTGTCCGGAAACAGTATTTTGGAGGGGAGAGGTCCCAGGGGTGCATTTTGGCTGCCCCTGATGCGTTTTCGAGAGCCCTTTGAGTGTGGGCTCCTGGTTGGGGGCGGGGGGCTCATGAAATGTTTGAGGGAAATAACGGGACAAGTCACCGGTTTATTGTGGGGCCTTTCTTGGGGTCATGTCTCAGGACATCGTAGGAGATAGTTTGGGGTGTTTTAAAGGGTTTTAGGCATTATATGGGGGTGCCTTTGGGGACATTTTGGAGATCTTATCGGATATTGGGGAGTCTCAAGGGAGTATGAAGCTCCTCGGAGGTTCTCACACCATGTGGCCACTGTATATTATTAGTCTCGTGGGGAATTATTTAGAGATCTCACAGGGACAAGTGGGTACTAGAAAGGGTCTTCTATAATTTAGTGGGATTTCAGGTAAATGAGGGGGGTCATGGGGTCTTACTATTATAATCATAATCTGACTCATGTCATGATAGGAAGATCCCTGTTTTCCTGGGATGGTCTCAGTGTCCACTTGAACGTCCCAGCATTCCATCTGGTTAGAGCTCTCTCACTCCCTGGAGTCTCCGCCATTTGGCTACTAGAAAATTTTAAATTGCGCTCATGGCTCCCCTAGCCTTGGGAGGCAGAGGGGGGACCTCATGCCAGTCACTAGGCCTTGGGCTTTTCCCAACAGAGAGATGAGCTGCCGGCTTCTGTACCACCTGCCGGTGAAAACCCACCCCAGCGCAGGGAGTCTTGAGGCTGCTCAGGCAGGAGGCGAGATCAATTTTTAGATTAAAAATTGAACAAAAAGACACCACCCCCACCCCCCACCCCCGCCCAGTGAAAACTGAGATGAGACTCTGGCAAGGCAATCTGAGTAGGGGAGGGAGAATTCCATCCTGGAGCCCAGGCTCCCGTGCAGAGCCAAGACTTGAGGGAAGAGAAGGGATGTCTGTGTCCTTAGAGTTGGTCCATCCTCAACAGTTATGGGCAGAGCCTGGGAGAGATGATGGGTCAGCTTGTGAATGCAAATGGAGTTCTCTCCCCAAGGCACGTGCACACACGCACACAAGCACCCACCCCTCACATCCTGTTCCCCTCCCCCCATTCTGGTCCTGTGTTACCTGGAGCGATGAGAGGTGGGGCGTCCCCTGGATGATGACTAGGCAAAGAAGAGTGATGAGATCAGTATCCACCCCCTTGTTCTCACAAGGCCAGAGGATTCTCGGCTTGCCCTGACATAGCTTCCTGGCTATTTTTCCATTGCTGGTTGTACCATTCCAGGGACCCAAGCTTTTCAGGATTTGGGGCCCTCTGAAGGTGATCGGCTCTGACGAATAAACCTGGAAAATTCTTAGTGGCGAGAATTCTCCAGGGCAGAACCAGGAGGCCTCTTTCTGTGAGATTTAGCCCTTTACACCAGTGAAAGGTGTCTGTTCGGTATGAGCCAGGCACACAGGAAACCCATCTTACCTGGGCTTCTGGCTGAACTTGCATTTGCATTTCCCACCTGTTGGGGGAGAGGGGCTGGTTGGGAGAGAGGACCCGGACCCGCAGCCTTGCCCTGCCAGCTCAGCCACCAGCGTCCCCACTCACTCATGAGGACGATGATGCCAATGGCGCACAGAACTCCTGAGCAGATGAGCCCGCCGACCCGGAGTCTGTACCAGTCTAGGAGAGACCCGGAGGGCGCCGTCAGTGCCTGCTGTGGCCACCCCTCCCCCCATCCAAACCTCCATCTATCCAACCAGTAGGTATTGGGCACCTATGCCGGGCAGGGAGCCGGGGATACAGAGTGAACAGCCGGCCCCCAGCCCTCCTGTGTTCACATTCTCCTTTACACACAACCGATAAGAGATTCAGTGGAAGGTCACGTGGAGATAAGCTTTCTGAAGACAAATAAGCAGGGCCAGGGGACAAAAAGTCGGAGAGCAAGAGTGATCAGGGGAGACTTCTCTGAGCAGAGACCCGGGGAGGTGAGGCAGGGGCCGTGGCAAAGGGATCAGAAGGAACAAAGGTCTGGAGGTCTGGAGTGTGTGTCTGGAGTGTGTCTTCGAAAATGCACGGAGGCCACCGCATAGCTCACCTCCTTCAGGCAGTTTTTGCAGGACAGCCCTTCCCCCTGCAGTTGATTTGAACCATAACGGCCTCCTGTGAACTGACCTGGCTTCCTCCATGTCTATCCTGCAGGAAGGGAACCCTCCAGGGACCAGACTGGCCTCGTTCGTTCCTGTGTTCCTTTATTCTAAGGTGTTGACTGTTCAGTGCCCCAATCATCGCCCCTTCCTATCCTCACCCCTGTTTCGCCCACATCAGACCCTCACCCAACCTGTGTGCGACCCTTGGCACAAAGTAGTAGGTCGGGGTAGGGAGGCCGCGAACAGAGAGGTGCACGCTCTCACCATAGTAGAAAGGGCTGTTTTTATCTGCAAGGAAAGAGAAAAGAACGTGAATCCAGGACAATAGCCAAGGGGCGGGGGAGAACTTGGGGGTGAGCTGGTGGAGGGGTCCAGTCTGACTCACCTTCTGGGTCGTTGGCATCCAGGGCAGGCAGGCCTGCTGAGAGAGGCAGGAGGGGGAGGGGATGACGGCGCCAGCCTCAGTAAAGCTGACAGGCAGAGCCACGGAGCCTCAGGGGACAGTCCCCCTCCTCCTGAGGGCACAGGCGTCTGGCCCCAAACTGACCACCTCGGCACGTTTCACCCCGGAGGTATGGGCTTCCCCCTGAGCCCCACGCCTGTGAGCCCTGCCATTTGCCTCCTGAACTAGGTTTTAATCTGGGTGGCTTTGGGCCAGTCTGTGGCCTGGTGTTTCCAGACACCTGGCTAATCCACGCCTCCTGCAGAAATGGAATAACATTCTTTTTTTTTAATGTTTAATTTTTTTTAAAGGTTTTTTTTATTTATTTCTAGAGAGAGAGAGAGAGCGTGAGCAGGGGAGGGTCAGAGAGAGAGGGAGTCACAGACTGAAACAGGCTCCAGGCTCTGAGCTGGCAGTCAGCACAGAGCCCGACGTGGGGCGCGAACCCACGAACCGTGAGATCATAACCTAAGCGAAAGTCGGACGCTTAACCGACTAAGCCACCCAGGCGCCCCTTTAATGTTTAATTTTGAGAGAGAGAGAGAGAGAGAGACATAACAGGGAAGGGGCAGAGAGAGAGAGATAGGATCAGAAGCCTGCTCTGTGCTGAGAGCAGCGAGCCCGCGCAGGGTTCGAATTCATGAACTGCGAGATCATAACCTGAGCTGAAGTTGACCGCTTAGCCGACTGAGCCTCCCAGCGCCCCACGGAGCAACATTCTTATCAACTTATCAAGACGACAGCTGGCATCAGTCTCCAGTCGTCCTCAGAGCCTCATCCACACCCCACCTGTTCTGGTGTTTGCTCACCACTTCCTTTTAAAGCAACTCACTCATAACTTTAATGCACTTTACTAAAACATGCAGCTTTATATCATTGCCCTGGATGGAATGCTAATCTTGCCCAATGTAAGGGATAAAAAAAAGTACCATAAAAGCTGAGGACTAGGATTACATTCTGGCTAGAAGCAGTGGGCCACCCAAGCTCTGGGCCTGAGCTCTGTTCTTTCTTTGTGAAAAGGAGATTAGTATTTTTTAATGATATTTAAAGTACAAACACAATGTGCTTACTCTGTACTGGGCCCTGTTCTAACCGCTTTTCAAGTACTAACTTGTGTAATGGCTATTAAGTGCATACTATTATTGTCTTCATTTTTACAGCTGGGGATACTGAGGCACAAAGGATTTCCATAACCGCTGCATACACTGAGTGCCCAAGTATCTCTTGAACTAGTGTTAGGGAGGTGTTAGACCAGTACACAGGGCTGAGCCTTCTTGGCCCTCAAGAGGGTGACTTTCTAGCTGTGTGAGCCACTGCTATAAGAGCGGCTTTGTGTGTCCCTGGAAATCACTCTTGTGGCACTTCTTATCGTCAAGGAAATGCTGTCCTGGTAGTCAGGGGAGGCGGGAGGCACAAGAGAGACATGGAGCTAGGCCACCAGTCCGCAGAGGGGCTTGGGGAAAACGCAGTCCTGGGGATGGTACGCACCTGCCAGGAGAATGAGCAGGCTCAAGGTCATCTCTTGCAAGGTGGCTGCAGCGAGCTGGCCTGGAGGGGTGGGGGCGGGTGGGGAGGGTCCAGCTTTAGCGGGAAGGCCGGATGCCAGACAGATGCCTCAGGCTCCCAGTCCTCTCCTACTCTGCCCCCACCCAGGGTTCGCAGCTCGCCCCAGGGCAGAAAGGCTGGCATTAAAACCCACTCACTGGCTGGGAGGTAAGTGCAGGGAGGGCTGGCTGACAATGCAGACCCGGTGAGGGACCACAGTGATAACTCCCTGGCCACCAACTTGGGGCTTTAAGTGTGTTGCACCGGCGACCAAACGAGGAAGGTGCTGCCTGCTGTTATCCCCATCTGTAAGATGGGGCCTGAGAGCTAAAATGGGTGCGTAGGGTCACCCTGGCAGGGAGTGGGATTTAAAGCAGCCTGGCTCTGAGGAGGCTGCTCGTCACTCTGGACTCTCAGGGCCTTGGGGTGTTTTGGGAAACGGGATGTTGGGAGCCAGGTGGCAAGAAGCCCGGGTTCCCGGGTGTGTCTCCCATAGGCAGCTCCGAGCCTGCCTGCCCTGCCTCTGCAGACCTCGGGCTGGGCCAGGGCCGGGACCGCGCTGGCTCCTTGGGGGAAGCCATGGGGGAGGGAGAACCGGGAGCTGGGGTGGCCATGAGGGCGGAGCAGAGAGGAGTCATCTGGCTGCAGCCCCCCCCAATTCTACCCCCGCGCGTGCCCCAGGCTCTGGCAAGCTCCTCCTGGCAGCCACAGCTTCCTCTTTCCCCAGGTAGGCCTGCCCAGCAAGAAGAAGCCCTCCATCCACTTCCTGGTCTGGCATCAGCTCCCCTCCCCCCCCACATCCCAGGTCCGGAGCATCCAAGAGAAGCCCCCATGTGTGGCCCAGTCTCCCCCTCCCCCAGCCCTGCCCCACTGCCACAAGCACACACTGCCAAAACGTTGATAGCAAGAGCTAGCACGTCCTCTGACCCACCCCGTGCTGGGCACTGCCCAGTGACCTTGCTGCGTCCTCACCCATTTCACCGCCCCACCCCCACCCCACCAACCCCAGACGTGATCTGTCCTATCCTTCATTTCACCGATGGCAAACACATGCCCTCGCTAAGCCTGGTGAAAAGCCTTCTGCCGCTCCCTGCTGTGTCCCCGCGACTCCTGTGCACAGCTGAAGAGAGTGACCCCGTCTCTCTCCATAACCCGCCATACAACCCCCACCCCGTATTCCTTCCTGTTTCTTGCACAGACTTCTTCGGTTCCTGTACACTCAGGTGCTGGGAATCCTCTCGGCTGTTAATCCTTTAGGGTGGACTCAAAATTTTAGTTTGAATGTCCATTTCTTACAGGAAGGGGGTCTGCAGCTTTGCGAAGCATTGCTACGGTGCTTAGGACCCCACAAATGTGGGGATAGGAGCTGGAGTGAGCGTGCGGGTGGTTCCTCACCAAGTCACCCCGAGATGATACTAATACTAGGAATAGGAGCTAGTGCTGGGGGCCCCTGGGTGGCTCTTGATTTCATCCTAGGTCATGATCTCATAGTCTGTGAGTTCGAGCCCCACATCCAGCTCTGGGCTGACAGCACGGAACCTGCTTAGGATTTTCTCTCCCTCTCTCCTTCCCCCCACCAAATAAATAAACTTAAGAAACAGAGAGCTCGCGCTTAAGTGAGCGTTTCCCCCATGCCAGGCACTGTTTCAGCTCTATCCATTTATTCACTTACGCAATCTTCACAGCTTGATGGAGCCAGCTCTGTGGTTACCCCACGTTGTCGTCACAACCCTGTAACCCCTGCTAACTCAGCTCAATGCCGCATGCTGTCCCCCGGGACCCAGGGTCCCAGCTCGGAAGCTTCTGTCCATGGAATTCACCACGTCCCCCCGGCTCTCAGGGTTCCGTTCCTCCCCATCTCGGGCCCCTCCCAGCATCCCTGGCACAGGGCGTGGATGAGTGCTTTTAGCGGCGCCCCAGCCCCTGGGCGACATTTCCAGCCTGGGCGTCCCACAGTGCAGGCCGCTGGGAGCTGGCGTCTGGGCATCTGGCCTCGCCTTCCAGCTTAGGCTCTGGAAGAGGCTCGGGAACCGCTCCTGATGAATGTGATGTCGGTGTGAAGGCTCAGAGAGGAGGACAGCCTGCAGATGGAGGCCCTCCCCCTCCCTCTCCTTTCCTGCCCTGCAGGCCCCAACACTGCTTCCATAGCCGTCTCTCCCAACCGCCCGCCCGCGGCTGTCCCCTCTGCTCCCCTGTGATGGTGGCCAAGCCCTTCAAGCCTGTGCAGGAGGACTCCCTCATCTCCCTGAAATTCCCTACCTGACTCCCCATTTTATAGCTTTCCCAGGAAGCCACCATCCCCTTTTCCAAGAGGTCTTCAGGACCCACACATCCCCAATCCCTAGACACCTCAAGTCCCCCCAGGCACCCACCCATCCACTATGACCCTCAACCCAGCCCTGACCCACCTGGATACTCCAGCCCGCCCAGGCACACCTCTGCAGCCTTATCCACCCAGATACCCGCCATCCAGATGCTTCTGGTCCACTCAGACACCCCCGATTTCCCAGTCACCCTGATCCCATGTGTGGGCCTTACTCTCATCCCAGCTGGCTCACCCAGCCCCCTGAAGGGAGAATGATGGGGGGCAGGGGAATCACGTTAACGGAAGGAGCTTTCTCTAATCTACTGCCCCTTGCCCCCCAGAAAAGATCCTTAAAGGGAGGAGGTTCTAGTGGCTTTAACAGAGAGAAGTGGAGGGAGCAGCAGAGCCAAGAGGCTGTTGGAAGGAGGGGACCCCAGCCACTCACCTGTGTGGCTCCCCTGGCTGCTTGGAAAGTTCCAGGAGAGAAGGGAGAGAACGTGGCTGCTGAGCCTGAGACCTGCCTTTATCCGCAGCCGCCACGCCCTAAGCAAACCTGGGCAGGTAGAGAACAAGTTGGACTCCCTAAAGCTCAGGGGCTCTCTCACCCCATTCCTGCTCTTAAAGAGACAGCTTCCACACCCTTCTCCCCTACCACCAATGCCAGGGAGCTCCCTGCGGTCCCCAGGGTCAAAGCAGCCTCAGGTGCGGCAAAGGGAGAGTAGGATGGGCTGGAATTCTGCCCTTCACCTCAAGGCAGGGGGCTTTCTTCAATCTCCTGACCCTGTGCAAAGCTCCTGGCAGGAAGAAGGTCGGGATCTTTAGCAGAAGAGCTTCCGTCTGGCAGACCGGTGAGTGAAGGTCATGCTCCGGGGTCCTAATCTAATTTCTTTTACTTAAGATTGTGTGCTGTGCTTGGTGGCAACTGAGAGATATCTAAAGTCCCCATTGCTTTTGACAGTTTGAGGGTCAGCAGAAGATGCTGATATGACCAAGGTCATGGGGGGTGGGGGTGCATGGAGGTCAGAGGTGGAGGTGGGGGCGGGGGCTATTGGGCTTTAGACCGTGGCCTCTTCCCCCTCATGTCCGTCATGCCCTGGAGAGACTGGGAACTGGTGTCCGAGCACCAGGCAGACCTTCCTAGCTCAGGCCCTTCCCAAGGGTGCAGAGAGCCAGATGCCTGGGTCTATGCAGCGGGTGTTGGGGCGGAGGCTGCCTCCCACTCCGGATAAGGCCACTGCACTGTGCAAGGCTCCCTTCCTCTCCCTCCTCCCTCTCCTCTCCTCCTGCCCCTCCTCCTCATGGCATTCCTTCTGGCTGGGGTCTGTGTGGGCCCCCACATGGTCCTCGTTGGGGTGCCCCCTCCCCCCAATTCTGCCTTTTTAGACAGAGGGACTTTTGTCTGGGGACTGGATGGAGAACAAGGCGCCTTTGAGTGGCTGGCGGAGGATTGGGGTCACGGGGAGGGGCAGGGCCAGGAAAGGGTGGCTCTGCACTGGCCACCAGCTGGACTCCGGGCGACCCCCATCATCATCTCTGGGGGTGGAGAGGAGGGCTGCAGGAGCCAGGCCAGGGAGAGTGCGGAGCACAGTACGGGGAAAGGGGGTTTCCGAGGTCAAGGCTCTGCTGGGGGTTGTCTGCAAGGGCCAGGGAGAAAGGGCCCCCCACTTCCGAACAGGGAGGGATGGAGAGGCAAGGAAGGCACGCCCAGACACATGCTTTCTTTATGTGGCTCCCTGAGGCCATTTTTCAACCCCAGGCCCTAGACTAGGACATGGCCTCCCTGACTCCCATTAAGAAGGGGCCAATCCCTTCAGGGAGTGGAGGAGGCACTCAGGGTGGAGCTCAGTTCAAGTGGGAAGTTCGGGGGAGACAGAAACAGTGCTAAGGGAGGTCTGGGGGGAGGGTCCCTGTCCAGCTAAGGGGGGGGGTCTTTGTCTGGGGGGAAGATAGCATCTCTTGCTCAGACATTTCAAATTACAATGTCCCTGAAGACCCCTTTGATGGTCTTGGGAGTTGAGTGGTGTCTCCCTCTGCTGGGAAGTCCAAGAACTGCAGGCATCGGAGAGCGAGAAGGGGCGATGGCTCCGTGGTGGCTAAGCTGTCCTCCACCTGTGCTGGAGTCTGTAGACTCAGATGCCGAAGGGGCCAGGCAAGAATTGTGAACGAGAGAAGCAGGACAGGCAGGAGACCATAAGGCACCCTGGCAACCAGGCAAACGGGAGAACTACTGTCCTGTTTAAAAGGCAGCCACGTGGGCAGAGACGGAAGTGTCTCCCAGACGTCTCGCTAAGGGAAGAAACAAAGATGTATAGAAGTACGCTACCATTTGTGAAGGGGAAAGGACGTATATGCATACACTTGTTCATGCATAAGGTATCTTTGGAGGCTGGCACCCAGGGCTGGGGAGGAGTGGGGGGAGGCTGGGGGATGGGGTGGAGATAGACTCCCTCTTGTACCTTTTGAATTTTATATTCGAAAAAATATCCTGCCTCGAAAAAAGTGCCATTAAGAGTATTAAAGGATAGGGGCGCCTGGGTGGCTCAGTCGGTTGAGCAACTGACTTTGGCTCAGGTCTCGATCTCACAGCTCAGTTGGTGAGTTCGAGCCCAACGCTGGGTGGAGAGATTACTTTAAAAAAAAAAAGTTGGCTCAGATTTTTAAACAAATTTTAAAGGTTTAAAAAATTAGGCAAGTCCAACAAAACACACTTAAGGACTGCTTTCATGCTGGGGGAGAAGCTTCTGGCAGCTTCATTTCCTGAGTCTTTCATCATGGAGGCCTTGCATTCAGATATACAGTCATCTATGGGGCTTTAACCCAACCCAGGCCGACCATAACTTCCCCTAGGGCTGGACCAGAACGTTCCACATCCATGTGTGTGTCGGCCTGGGGCTGGGGCTTCTGACTTGAGACCCCCATGTGGATGCGTGAAGGTGAGCACACTGATACTTGGGGGTAGGGTCTGCAGAGAGTAGTGGGTGTGGCTCCTTACATCCTTTGGGGGTTGGATATCTTTTGGGGTGTCTTTAGGCCAACATGACTTCAGTCGTTTCTAAAGTCCCTCTTCTCTATTTTTATATATATATAATCATATCATCTTTTATATGTAAACATCTGTTATTATCACATAGATAAAAAAGTCATTAGAAATATTTCCCCTTCATTTTGCTTCTGACATCATTTGGCACGAAAGCATCTGCTTTGGCTGTGATTGGCTGTGATTCCTCGGTATCCTCGGAATTGTTGCAGCACAAGGAAAACCAAACCTACAGACAGCTTCTGAGCATCACAAGGTTTTCAGAAATGCCGAATTAAGTCAAAGCTGTAAGGTGTTATGTAGTGTTATTAATTTGGGTTTTGCCATTTGCTTGTGATGCTCAGGAGGGCCCAAACCCAACCAGTGTACATGTTGCCTTTGGTTCACAAAGTGTTGCAAAAAGGAATAGTTGCCAACATTGAAACATCTGGATGTTTCCAACACAGTAAGCTGCATTCCAGCCTCTCGTGCGGGATGCGGCCTAACCGGGCCCACATACTCACTTGGCAGCAGTGGCTGGAGGGGCAGGTCCATCTCTCTGAGGTGACCCAGGCCCCGTATCCCCCTGGTCTGAGGCTTCATGGGAGGGTATGTGGGAAGGGAGACCCCCCTCCCATCTCAGACCTGCTTTCGCCTTGGGGCCACCATTACAGCACAGAACCTGGGCAGAGGCAGCCCAGGGTGGATCAGCGGGAAAGACCCCAGAACTGTCATCCCGAATCTGCCCACGGTGAGGGAAAAAGGCACAACTGAGGGGAAAAGGCAAAATTCCAGAAAAGAGTGGTCGCGTTTTGTGACTTCCTCCCGAGAAGGCACTGATGAGTGTTTCACAAGGCCAGCCTGCTCAGAGCAGGGCAGGAGAAGAGGTCTCAGATAACAAATACTAACTAGGGTACCGACATGCGGACTGAAAGCAGACGAGGCAAAATATGAAGAATTGGTGGATCTCCATGAAGGGTATCTGGGTTTGCCGTAAGCTCTATGTAACACTCCTGTCGTTACAAAAATTGAAAATAATAGTTGGGGAAAATGAATAAAAATTGTAAAATTAAACATGAAACAATTAACTGTAAGATAAAAAAAATAATGGGGGCGCCTGGGTGGCTTAGTCGGTTAAGTGTCCAACTTTCGCTTAGGTCATGATCTTGCGGTTCGTGGGTTCGAGCCCCGCATCGGGCTCTGTGCTGACTGCCAGCTCAGAGCCTGGAGCCTGTTTCAGAGTCTGTGACTCCCTCTCTCTCTGACCCTCCCCTGCTCATGCTGTCTCTCTCTCTCTCTCCTAGAAATAAATAAAACATTAAAAATTAAAAAAAAAAGATTGCTTTGAAAAAAAAATAATGGCAAAAGAATGGAGGAAGAAGTAAACTCAGAATTGGCGAAGCTAATAGTTAAATGAATAGAATTTATTTTTTTTTTATGTTTATTTAATCGGCTTTTGAGAGAGGAAGAGAGCAGGAGTGGGGGACGGGCACAGAGAAAGAGGGAGACACAGAATCCGAAGCAGGCTCCAGGCTCCGAGCTGTCAGCACAGAGCCTGATGCAGGGCTCAAACTCTGGAACCATGAGATCATGACCTGAGCCGACTGAAGTCAGATGCTTAAGTGACTGAGCCACCCAGGTGCCCCTAAAGGATCGGACTTAGAGACTTTGTATTCATGCGTGTAGCACATAGTATGTAGTGAATATTATGCACATTTGTTTCTTTTTTAAAAATTAGAAACAATTTTTTTAAACATTTATTCATTTTTGAGAGACAGAGAGAGACAGAACATGAGTGAGGGAGGGGCACAGAGAGGGAGACACAGAATCTGAAGCTGGCTCCAGACTCCGAGCTGGCAGCTCAGAGCCTGACGCGGGGCTCAAACCCATGAACTGTGAGATCGTGATCTGAGCCCAAGTCGGACGCTTAACCGACTGAGCCACCCAGGCGCCCCTTCAAAAAATTTTTTTAATGTTTATTTATTTTTGAGACAGAGAGACAGAGCGTGAGTGGGGGAGGGGCAGAGAGAGAAGGAGACACAGAATCTGAAACAGGCCTCAGGCTCTGAGCTGTCTTGAACCCACCAACCCTGAGATCATGACCTGAGCCTAAGTCGGGCGCTTAACTGACTGAGCCACCCGGGCGCC